GTTACGCGAATTTAAAGATATACCTAATTCAAGTTTAAATCCAGTATGACTGGTAGGCCTATGCCAAATTAAGAACAATTATGTACGGACAAAAATCAAAGAAATATGGATTAAATAAATGTGATCGAATATTTGGGAACCGTTGCTTAGAAAAAAAAAGATTCACTCGAGAACTGAATATTAATTTGTTCGTAGATAAATCGTAAAGTCTCTGACAATGGTAGACATCGGTATGTCAGCTCAGAGAAAGCGGAGGGCTCAACGGATGGCAAATCGCCGTCAAAGACTAGCCCTGGGACCAGTGTCCGACCACGGGGATGAGATCCTTCGAGCCATTGAGATAGTCAAAGCCGTACTGGTCAAAGCTAAGCAAGAAGCCCAAGCTTACCCCGGCGGAGATTTCCCCGAGGAGTCGAAAGACCAGCAAACCGACTCTTCTGCAATCTCAACGTTCATCCAAAAACAGAGGTACAGCAAATATGTCTCTCTCTTTTCCCCCTTCTAAACATGTAAATTCGTAATTCAATTTGGTTATGAATGAATTACCGTCGAGTAGAAGGGTTGTAATTAAGAATAAATGATGCCCACAATATTTGAAAGTCATCATGCATAATTGCTGAGTAAAAAGATCTTAATACATTTTTTACATGAAATGTTTTCGATGATCATGTACTGAAGAGTCTTCAAATGCCTTAGCATCCACCCTTAACACACTTACATTCATTTTAAAAGAGAAACCTTTTGATTTTGGTGGCATTTATTTATAACCTTTTAGTTTAAAATGTCTTGTCTTTTTTTTCTCAAAACAGTTATACTCTTGAGCCAGAGATATCGGCCCATCAGAACAAGAGTGTTGATGAAGAGGTCATCCACATGCTGAAACCTAAAGTCTCATGTCAGACTCTCATACTCGATGACCTCGTGACCTTTGACATGGGATGGACTGTAAAGGTATAAAAGTCAAAGTTCTTTTCGTGTAATAGAAAAATTGCATCATGATCTATGATGGCCTAAAGGGAGTGAGAGAGAGAGAGAGAGAGAGAGAGAGAGGGGGGGGGGAGATTTCTTATAGCAAGAACCGAATTATACACTGAAACATTGATGGACTTAGTCAGTTTTTAAGTCCTCATTAGAAGAATCCCTCAGAAGTTATAAAGTGTAAGCTAAAAGATTTTGGGAAACAATATTTCATTTATTCTCATTGATGTTGGAATACTGATGACAAACCCATGAAATTTACTGCTGTCTTATAATTATTTGATCATAAGAAGCTTGCTTTAAATTTCAATATACTTTTTTCTCTTCACAGAGCATCATTACGCTCCAAGAAATTGGAAGGGGCAGCTATGGTCGGGTTGTGATAGCACGTCATCGTTCCACAGGCGTTCCTCTTGCCATCAAAGAGCCGTCATGGTCAGACGACTTCGCCTCGCCTGGTGAAATGGTTGAAGAACTCAAGGCAACCAGGACCAGAGCAACAAAGGAGGCAATGATCCAACAGTTGATGTCAGGCAGCCCTTACTTTCCCAAGTTCTGGGGCACCCTCGATCTCGGTAACGAACTCTGCCAGGCCGTCGAGTTCGTGGGGTGTAAGAAGACGGGTACCGGCTACCCTCTCCACGAACCGCCATCGCTGTCGATGTGCAACGTTGTCAAGATCGCAGAGGACATCGTCAAAGGCATGATGGAGTTCCATGATCAGGGACTTCTCCATAATGACCTCAAGAACGATAACGTGCTCCTGGAAAAACGCGGCAAGCGATACAACGCCGTCATCATCGACTTCGGGATGTCAAGTACGATCACCACCCCAGCGAAAATGGTCGGAGTTGCCAAAGAACTCAAAATGGCGTATGTACATGGAGGAGAGGCAGACTATATAGCACCTGAGGTTGTTTTGGATGAGCAGCCAACATCCATCGCTTCAGATGTGTTTTCAGTCGGCCGTATCCTCTCCGATATGGGAGAGATATTTGGAGGTAAAACCGAATTTCATACTTAGTGTAAGTTCGTAATTATAGTAATATATTTTTCATAAAAAGAGATAGGTTTACGAAAAAATTCATCAGCATTATTCTAATCCTTTGTAAGAAAGCTGCTCAGTCTGAATAAATTTCCTCACAGTTCTTTTGCTATAAAATTTCAAGATGGGGCTGTATCGTAGTGGCTGCAAGCACATTCAGCTGTTAATAATTATGTAGTATATGAAGTATAGAAACGGTGGCAAAATATTTTGTAACCCCTCTTTTTTTTCTTCTATTTTCTATTTCTTTCTTTTCTGCAGGTCACCGTTCTCCCGCAGTTCGAGAACTGTCCAAGCTAGGAGCTCAGTGCATGGCTGATAATCCTGATCATCGCCCTAGCCTCGAAACCATCCAAAGTCAAATCACCAAACTCCATCGGCCAAGTAGATGGAGGCGTGTCAAGCGATGGGTCGCTAAGAAACTGCATCTACGTCGAAAGTAATCCGGAAATAAAATTATTTCGGAAAAATAATTTATTGTAGCTTTCATTGAAATAAATCATATCATTAAACAAAAAATATTTGTGTGTGCATTTGTTTTTCAAAGATACTTATCTTGATGAACGATACAAAGACAGAGATAAGAGAGATAGGGTAAAGGCAGAAAGAGAGACTTGAAGTGAAAGACAGAGAGTGAAAATCGATATACAGAGAGTGAGAGAGAGAGAGAGAGAGAGAGAGAGAGAGAGAGAGAGAGAGAGGAGAGAGTAAAGAGAATAAGATGTACTAGCAACTTCCCTTTGATGTAGACCTCGAAATTTCCAACTACTAGTACTTAGTGGATTTTTCCATAGTTATATCACAGGGTGGGTGGGATACTAAAAATTGGTGTTGGGGCTAGCCTCTTGTCGATGGCCCTCGCGTTGTTGGAGTCCATAAATTCTGGCGAGCGAAGCGAGCCAGAGAAACCGAGCGCTAGCTTCGCTCGCCAGAATATATGGACTCCAACAACGCGAGGGCCATCGACAAGAGGCTATGTTGGGGCTGGGTAGAGTGCACTCAAGAGCTGAGAAGAACGGAAGAAGTGATGAAATGAATAAATAGGAAGAAATATCTTTATCTTTAGGCAGTATAGTTTCTCGATAAGGAGTGTAAATAATTGGAATGCCCTGCCTAAGGATGGTAGTCAATGCTGCCACCATTGACCAATTCAAGTATAGAAAGGTATTGGAGAAATAATCCAATTAAGTTTGTACCATACTTGGGACGGGATGCAACAGTAAAGAGGGAGCTTCCAGTCTCTACAGGGTCTCTACACCATACTCAAGTATGATATCAGTTTAGGGTATTTGCACTGTTCCCGATGACGATGCCTTTGGAATTTATATTGTTTATTTTGTATTTTGTTATTCGTATACTGCTGCTAATAAACCTTTCTTTTTTTACGAGCTCACTAGAAAATGTTGAGCATGATTTCGTTTTCTATAGCACGAGATTTTCTCCTAGAGATCTTATATTCAATTGAAATATTGGTATATTCATGTACAATTTATCTACTTATAATCTACCTGAAATATTTTTACAAATGTTTCGGAAAAAAAGATCCCTACACGATTATCCCAAACGTCTCCATGAGAAAATCTCGTGCTATAGAAAACGAAATCATGCTCAACATTATCTAGTATGCTCGTAAAAAAGGAAAGGTTTATTAGCAGCAGTATACGAATAAAAAAAAATAAACAATACAAATGTCGTAGCCTGCGCAGTTCCACAGATAAATTATTGTTTCAGATTTCCCATGGCAAGACCAAAGTAACTCTTGGGGACCGTGCTTTTTCTATTGCTGCCCCCCCCCCCCCAACTATGGAATAGCTTGCCAATAGAAATACGAAGCACTCCATCGCTCAATGTTTTCAAATCCAATTAAAAAACTGATTTGTTCAACTGAAAGATCTTATTTTGTAGAATTTAGTAAAAAGGAGCTCTTAACTAGCGCAGCTGAATATGTTTTGTATAAAAGCTGCGCTATATAAATTTATTATTATTATTTTTTTTTATTACGTCAGAGCAACACATATCACCTTCCACGTACCCGAACTGTTTTTGCCCCCGAAACGATTATGTTTACAGGACCCAATTACTGGAATGCCCTCCCGTTAGAGTTAATTGAAAGTCCTTCCTTATATACTTTTGCTCGCTTCCTTATTCTATTTATGTATGTAATCAGGCGCGTACGCAGGATTTTTTCAAGGGGGGGGGGGGGTTTAACATTTATAAATCGGGCCGAAAATTTCGCAACGACTCAGCCAGCCGCTGAATAAGCGGGGGGGGGGGCGGGTAAGAGGACACTTTTTTTTTTTTGGTTTCGAAATTTGAAAATTTGACATTTGGCTCCGTTGGGGAGGGGGGGGTGGTAGGGGGTGATGGGGGGGGGGGGGTATACACATAAAAATACCTAAGGGGGTGGTTAACCCCCAGCCCCCCCCCTGTGTACGCGCCTGTATGTAATATACAAATGTAATCATTTTATCATTATCTGTAAGGTTCGTTTACCAGCTGAGCACCCATTGTACGGTAAATTTAAGTACGTGTACTTTTGTCTACACTGCAAGAAAGGAAGGGACAATATAAACAGCACCACCACATGTTTATAATTATTTCCTTTTTTATTTTATGATTCATTTAGACTGGTCACTATTATATCCGTCCTCAATTTATTACCACAAACTATCTCACTGGGGCCTACAACTTTACAAGCTTGCTTTCATGTAGGTCCCATCGTATTTATCTTAGTTAAATCAGTACTCCTAATCCTATTGACCACTTATCTTTGTTATTTATTATGTATTATTGAAGAAAAAAACAAGAACAATTTGTACTCTATTTGAAATGTATATGTAACATGAGAAATATGAAAAAAAATGGAAACAAAAATGAAATGAAATGATGTTATGATCCACCCGAAACTGACCCCAACCCTCCCCCCCCCCCAAAAAAAAAAATGGGATCGTACTTGCCGCCCTCTTGCGGTCTCATATTGAAATGTTTGTTGACGATGGTTTTTAATTTCTTCATTGTCCAGACTCCAGCTGCAAACATAGCTAGATTAATGACAAACTGATAGAAAATCTTACTATTAAAATGTTGCCTCGAAGTGTAGTTATCACACTGAGTAGAAAGCAAGACATGACATCATGCCGTTAAGTGAGTATCTCTACATGAGAATTTTGGTGTTTGTTAGTGTGGTCCCATATCTTAAATTCTGTGTCGTGTTATTAATAGAGTTCTAGACTAGACTAGTCTAGTTCGTTGTAGTCTAGCCTCCTCCTCCTCCTCCTCCTCTTCTTCTGAATCTTCTTCTTCTGAATCTTATTATTATTTGTTTTTTGTACTTGATTTTTGAAGTACAATTCTTATTTTGTACTCTTCCCAATCTGAATTTTTTCATCTGTTTTTCTCCCTTCATTTCTTCTGGAATAGGCTAGGTGTTTCACAGTTCAAGTCTTTTTTGCATTTTTGCCTTGTGCCTTTTGTCGGTGAAAAATTTAATGCTGATTTAATGGCGCTAGTGTAGTTCCGTATCCATTTTTTTTTAGCAGTTTAATATCCATTCTTAGCAAATGAATTTTAGCCCAATTTTTTACTAATTTTAATCATAATCATATAGACTCTACTGATACAGATCTATTGCATTTTCCACCTGAATTTGGATCACATTCGACATCGGGAAACCTTCGTTTAGGGCTTCAATGTCGATGTTGCGTCGTCGCTCAGTACCGTCTCTACGCTGTAGTCCGGCACCTCTAACTGAAGCTATCAGTTCAAAATTATGTAGACTTCTCGTATGCGCGATACCATAAACCATATGAGAAGTCTGCATAATTTTGTACAGATAGCTTCAGTTTGAGGTGCAGGACTACGGCGTAGAGACGGTACTGAGCGATGACGCAACGTCGACATTGAAGCCCTAAACGAAGGTTTCCCGATGTCGAATGTGATCCAAATTCAGGTGGAAAATGCAATATACATGTATGATTATGATTAAAATTAGTTAAAAATTGGGCTGAAATTCCTTTGCTAAGAATGGATATTAAACTGCTAAAAAAAATGGATACGGAACTACACTAGCGCCGATTTAATGATAGAGATACTCAGTCCATAAATGCATAACCCAACTATATTTTTTATAAGATCTGATTTCAGCTAAGTTATGCTGAGTTGCCTCCATGAATTTGCAATGGACAGAAAGAGACATGGAGAATACTATGAAAGAGAACTTGAACTCACCTGTGGTAGCCTAGTTGTTTTGTACTGAGAATAAACCATGTACCGGTAATGACTGTCATTGACATTTTCAGTAGAGTGACGTAAAGGACAGGCATCATCATGGGAACGGGAAGCTCCTTCCCTAATGATGGGGATGATGATGACCAGCCCGGTGTCATCAAACGCATCCCGATCGAGATGAAGCCAAGACGGACACTCGGCAATGCCCTGCGCTCTGTGGGGTCTTTTGGACGCAGGCCAAAGGGCATGAGTCTACGGTCCTCATTGTCTGTGGAGTTTGAGAGCACGGAGGTGGAGAAGCTGAGGAGGGATTTTGAGATGTTTAAGATTGCCAAGCAGAATGAGATGAGTGACCTGCTCAAGAAGGAGAAGAAACTGGAGTCAGAGAACAGACGTTTAAGAGCTGAGTTACAGGTTCATTCTCCCTCTTTATTCATCATGTTCTTTATGTTGATTTCTATAGATTCAAAGGATTCTTGTTCATGAGATGAATATGTTATTATCGCTGTCTATTGTGATATCTTTTACTAATATATACTCGGTAATATGAATCATAATATTCAGGTGAATTTTTTTAAACACGGCCACCATGGGCTTTTCCTTTGTTCTCCTATTTCATTTAAAGTTATTATTATAAACTGAACATTCTCTGCCTTAGTATGTATATATACTTGTATGCTCATTTGCTTTTGCTGTATTTTTTTATGAAAGTGAAATGAATAAACGAACGAATGAACGAACGAACAAACGATACGTATAATATTGTAGAGGTTGGATAATTAGTAGTTGATATTTTGCTTTTGTTGTCTTGTGGTAAATGATGTAGCCAGTTAGGTATAATACAAATATAAAGATGATAATTGTACAAAAGAAAATGATGGCCTTGTAAATCCCTGCACATGCTATGTGCTTGTCAAAGTTATAACAATCCTTTCGTGTAGCGTTCCTCCTCGATTTACATAGATCTGTGCCCCCACAGTCCTCCGCCTTATGTGTCATCCTATTCCCCCCCCCCCCTTGTCTCCACATAAAAATTAGTTTTTTAATATTTCAAACTCAATATTATATACCGGTACTAATTTGTTGCCTTACAGTTGGTAATGCCATTCACTTGTAGACCTAACCTGGTTTCTTTGTTTACATTCAGATCCTTTCAGCTCCTGATTCTTCATCATTTCTACATCTCATTCATTTTTACTTTGCTAAATGCGACAACCCTGTCTAGCTTCTCAGGTAATACAGTCAAACCTGCTTTAGTAACCACCTGTCTACAAAGGCCACATTTGTTGTTTCCCTTGAAAATGGATTCTCATTGAATCATGTGATAAAGGAACCTGTCTACAAAGACCACTTTTGGTGTTTCCCTTGGGTGGCCGCTATAGACAGATTTGACTGTAGTTACAAATTACATGTTCTTTTACATTATTGTTACTTGTAGGCTTTGCAGAAGACATGCAATAAGCTGAGGCTTGAGAGGGACATGGCGCTGGATGCTGAGTACCAAGCCCTTGAGAGAGCAGCGACCTTTGAACATGATAGAAACAAAGTCCAGAGACAATTCAAGGTGGGTAATGTGAGAATACAACCATATAATTGATAGTATTAGACCAGTTCAGAAAATTGCATGCGGATGAAATCTGGTTTCATAGTTTTTCAGGAGTATAACTTACCCTTTTTTTGTTACTAGACGAACAAATTCCTTTGTCTCTATTTTAAGTAGTTTACCAGAATATTGTACTAAGTTTGCCATAGTTATGCCTTGAGCTCATGCAAACTGGTTTCAAGCCATATTTATCTCACATTTGTCACACCTTATGTAGGATGAGAGGAGATAATGTCCAATCAAAGGAAAAGGGGTGATTTTCATTCAACAGGCACAGTTTGTGACTTCATACAGGTACACATTCCCCCCCCCCCCCCCCCCCCCCCCCCCCCCCCCCCCCCCCCCCCCGCCTTCATCATTGCAATGTATCATTTGAAGATTATGTTTTATGTTGATTCCCTTCAACCCATATGTTTGCAATAATATTTATTCTTGTTTTCTACATTTTTTGTCCAATTCAACTATATCCTCATAGTTGTTTAGAGAGAGCAAAGAGAGTGAGATTCGTGATCTGCTGAGGGTGAGACAGGACCTAGAGGAGACGCTTCATTGGGCTAAACCTGTGGATGGTCAGCCTCAAGACTCAGGGATCCAGGAAACACAAGGTCATTACTATTACTCTTACTTTCTTCTGAAACAAAATTCTGTCTCCCCCCCCCTCTCCCCCCCCCCCTCTCTCTCTCTCTCTCTCTCTATCTCTCTCTCTTTCCTCAATCTGTCATTCGACCCCATTCTTGAAATATTTTTGTTCCCCTGAAATGCTGTTGCTTTATTAAACAGTAGTTCTATATTTCTACTAGTTCTCTTTGTTTTTTCATGTGTTTAGAAAAGACATCACAACAGAATATGTAATATTTTTAGTCATGTAAAGAGAGTTGAACTATTTTCTTAATGTCATACTTCTACATTGTAGGAGTAATACTGCAGCGCCGCTTGAGTGAATGTCAGATCACGGAATATGACAGTTTATTGATTACACATTGATTGCAAGATTGATTATCCAAGTTTTAATGATTACACATTGATTGCAAGATTTATTATCTAAGTTGTAATGATTACACATTGTTTGCAAGATCTATTATCTAAGTAATGAAATGTTTGGATTTATTTTTTTGACAGGTGGTAATCCTGGAGACTGGTGGACAGTGTTAGAGAGTGAGCCCTCTCTTGGCAGCATGTCACAACTCCAGCCGGCATGGAATAGGGATTCTCATGTTTATGATATGGATGGTAACTCTAGCAGTGATGGTAAAGGTAAGTGAAATACATTCCTGGCTTGTCATGTTAATCACTCTTAAAGGGAGTGTAGCATAACAAGACTATGTGTCTTTTCCTGTGGCCTGACTCAGGGCAAATCGGGTATTATACGCCTACGGACGACGAAACCGCAGCAATCACGTGTGTGCAACATATGCGAAACCGAAGTGTGAGGAGAACTTAGGTCTCTTTAGCGAACGCTAGCGCGCTGACCATGTAGAGATTAAGTCACTGGCTGCCATTAATTAAGTCATTTCGTTTACCTGCAGTTGTCCAAAAGAAGTCGTAGATGGCATTAACCGGTATTTGCCAAGCTACACTCCCTTTGATGTTTCCTACTTTATTGTTCTGTGATGACTGCTTCTTCCAAGGAATCAATGCTTGCCGCATGATGGCATTCTGGTAGTAGCCATCATTCCTTTTGACAGAAGTATACTTCTTTTGCAAATTTTAGAGTGGTACTTTGATAATAATACTATTTGTGATTTTACATTTATATTGTGTACATGTCCATCCCAGGGGATGCCCAAAGTGCCTACAAAGTAATGCTACAGTGTATAACCCTGACTTTAGCCAAGCTGCCCCAAGTTGCTGAAAGCATTCAAAAAATGATTCCTACCGGGTATCCAATTACTACACCTAGGTTGTCATTTGTCACTGATGACAAGTTTTGTGGGCCAAGGTGATAAATCTGGACATGAATTAGTTACTTTCACAATGTGGTAACAGTTATCAAAATCTGATCACAATATGATTTAAATTGTGTATTTCATACTATTTGTACCTTTGTCCTGTTACTTGGATTATTTTCAGGAGAGATAAGCGGTATTGCAGCCTCTGCACTCAATCAAATGCTGAGCAGCCTCTCCAGTCCCGCTTTGTTCAATGTAATAAGAGTCTACATTTGTGCGCCACAGGACCAGCATGAAGAGGCTTCATTGTTGCAGAAGGTTTGTAATTTCTTATGGTTGAGTAATGAAAAAAATTGTTCAGTGATACCTGGATATTGGCTTAAACTATACAGAGAAGGCTCATAATGTGATTTGAATTTAGACTGGTGGTCACCATACTCTTACACAGTTTATTTGGGCTTGCTTTATCAAGATAATACTTTATTTTCACAGTGCATCTGTATTAACTATATCAACTCCTAGATTTATAGGGATACATTCTTTAAAAATGTAGTTCTTATGTTTTGTTTCAGCTATTTTAAATGCAAATCTTTTCCTTATATTTGCTTATGGGTACCATTTGATTATCATGGAGCATGCAACAAATAAGGCCAGTCATGATTCTCTATTCACATAGACATGCATACCTATTCCTGTTTCTTACAAAACAAACACACACTAGGACTACGGCAGTCAACTTCGCTCCCTGGGTGACAGTGAAGGTCGGTTTGTGCTTCTTGTTCATCTGACCTTTGACCCTGAAAGTGCAGTGACCTCTCTCCTAGATGAGGATCTATTAAGACTTCACTCAGTGAGACAGAGGGAGGTGGAGTACTGTACAATCTTTGTTGGTTTCTTGGGCAAGGTCATTGATAGGTGAGTGAGAGGTTTAATTGTTTCTTCAAGCATATTTTCAGCGAGGCCCTAGTTCATGTGGTTACAATTTTAATTGGAATGCAGGGCCTTAAACCTCTTAATGCGATCAATTGACATTCACTGTTACATAACAATATTCCCCCACCTAGTTCATTTCTACGTGTTATTGAACCATCTACAAAACATAGAACTGAGTTTAGATTTTCTATCAAGATCTCATATTAAAAATATCAGGGAGAAAGTTTGTTCATTTTCCTATAATTAGTTACTTTCAATTTGTTTCTGCTTAGTACAATTCTTCTTTAACAGAACTAATTCATTGTATTCTAGATATATTTAAAAAGGGAAAGAAGAAGTCATGCCGAACTGATTTATATCTTGAGTAGCATGCAGACTTAGATGTTTTTTTTTAGTGTAGTGCTTCTTATCAATTTGTGTTTAAGATTAGGTAATCTTGAGGCTGTGGTGATAAAACATGTGACAAGATTTTAATCTTAATTGATTGATTTTGGTGCCAGGTTCACCGTGGAAGAAGTAGAGCTTGGGCATCTACATGATCCTGGAACCAAGCCAGCTATATTCTGCTACACCGATGAGAGGTAAGTGTATTTACTTAAAATCATGCAAGTTATACATGATCATACACTTGTTTTCCCACCAACAATCGTATCTTGAATATAACATAATAGAAATATAAAGATTATAAGTTACTCATACCCCAATACCAACAACCACAAAGATATAGTTCTTCAGCTGCCTGCAAGAAAGTTGTAACAGCTATTATTTTAGTTGCAGTATAAAGCAATTTACAACATGCTTGCTGCAATATTTATATTGCACTAATGAATACAGGATTAATATGAAGCTTATGTAATTGAATACAAGTTTTTAATTATGAAAACTCAAACAAAATTAGCAAAACAATTTTGTTGATTCCCCCCCCCCCCCTATAATCATCACAATGAGTCAACTTGAAGACCTGATGATCTTCTTTCCTCCTCTTTATGTAGATCGGTTGAGTCAGAAGAGAATAGTTCTGAAGGGCTAAAGGCTCAGATCAAGAATAGCGGCAATGCTAAGATCCTGGAGGGTTTAGAGAGCACGAGGGAGAGAGTAGATGCCGTCTTTCAAGAACTAGAGAAAATCATCCGGCTGGTGAGTTCTTTACTCGTCTCTGATGTACAGTCAAACCTCTCTATAGAGGCCACCCATGGGAAACAGAGAAAGTGGTCACTGTAGACAGGTGGCCCTTTTAGACAGGTGGCCACTAAGACAGGTTTGACTGTACTTACCAATACACTGGACCTTGTTTAACATACTCCTTATGATCAACACAATTGTCTTGTTATAATGAAATTTTGTCATATCATGGCTAAACAGACTTTGTTATAAGAGTGTTCTTTACAATGAGGTTTCACTGTATTTCACTAAATAGGATAAATATAATATAAATATATTATAATAATTAGGATAAATGAGATTTTTACCAACAAGACTCTTATGACTAGTAACTGAGCATAAATTCACCAAGTGCAACCAAAAAACAAAATTCACTATTTTTTAAAGGACCATTAATATGGAATAGTATACCTCAGGAAATTAAAAAATGCAAAACTCTCAATCTTTTTAAAAATAAATTTCTGTTAAATAAGTATAATAATCAGTATTAATAGCATAGGCAAATTTTGACTTTTTTTTTTTTTTTTTTAACTCTGATCGTGCATGATAGTAAGTTTTAGTATGTTCTTTGTTTTTTGTTCTCATTTTCCTGTATGTGTGTTTTTAGGGGTAGGCTTTTATATAAGGAATCCTTCCTTTCTGCCTATCCCAAATGCTCTTATAAATTGCCATTGTATTTTTTATCACTTTCTTGTTTTTTTATTCTGCCATTCTGTAATTGTATGTTTTAAATGTTTTTATGAAGAGTGTTGAATAAACTTTGAATTGAATTTGAACTTAGGTAAGGGATGCTTTTTGGTCACATGTGGGCGAGGCTATCTGGCGATTGCCTTGTTCATTCTGAAACAGGATCAGGTACCTCATATTGAAGTTCTTTGTTATGAATATATTTTAAGCAGATTTCAACAATGAAACAAAGCAAGCTTAATGAAAATTCAAATCTTGAAAGTTCATTTATGACAATTTCTTAAATGGTTTGTGGCATGTGAAGGGTTGATTATATTGTGAATATTTGGTTGGCTGAATTGCAATGTGACCTATGACCTCTTTTCCTGTGCTGTTCAGGAGCTTGGTATTGAATCTGCTGTAACATCTGAGATGTCGTCAGAGTTTGAGAGTGAGCTTGATGAGAGTACAGAAGAGAGATGCGGTGGACTTCAGTGGGATCTCCACGGTGACGGGGAACAACAAGAAATACTAGCTAACATCGCTAAGGAGGCCACATGTGAGCTCACTTTTGAAAAGGTATGAAAATCAAGTCTTTACATTCTCTGTAGATTATGACAAATGGAAGCACTGTGGTGTATAGGTGAAGGATCTGACTCTCATACGAGAAGTCTCAGGTTCGATCCTTGCTCGGTGCTTAAGTCCTTGGACAAGGTGTTTTGCCCACATTTGTCCCTCTTGATCCAAGTGTAATGTACCTGGCAAGGCTGGAGTAGTACCAACTGCAGGGCATACAGGAACAGCTGTGTTAATACTGATGTGCCTATTCTGGATACATAAGACCAAATTAAAATTGATATTATTGTTAATCATTAAACCAATCATCTCTTCTCTCTCTCTCTCTCTCTCTCTCTCTTTCATTCTTCCTCTCAGCACTATGAGAGCATCAGTGAGCATGTAGGAGCCGCCGGTCCCCTTCCCCCTCTCCTGGTGAGCGGTGTCCCTGGGAGTGGAAAGTCGTTGCTGCTTGCTAAGTGGGTTCAGCTCAAGCAGAAAGACGCTCCGCCAGGCTTGGTCCTCTATCACTTCACTGGATCCCCAAACTCCTCCAGCGCCAATGCGGTCACCATGATCAGAAGAATGACTGCCCAGGTAATTAAGTACAGTTAATGCCTGTTCAGATACAATCAATTATCTATGTTACACTATAATTGAGAATGATCCTATCTGTTTGGATTGAAGTCAATAAAGTTTGAATTTGAATTTGAATTGGAAGTGGAAAATTCCCACAGCTCAACCCCCCCCCCCCCACCCCCACTGTTTATTAGTGTTCATATTGGCAAACTGCCCCATTCATGGTAATGAGATACCCAGTACATGTTAAATTTATTGACCTTATGGCATTAATCTCAACTAGCAAAACTACCCATGCACTTATTACACTGGAAGCAGATGAAGAGATAAAACAAAGTTTGTACTACGCTCATGAAAATTATAGGATTGTGAATGGATATTTCCCCCCATACCTGATATTCCAGTTTTTGGTACAATGGTATCCAACATTAGAACCTTCCCGATTCTTGTAATATCAATGGAGCACTGAGACAGTGCAGGCTTGTGATACTAAATAATTCACAGGACTATAGAATGGTGAAGTGTGACGTCATCAAAAATCTAATTTTAGAATTTCTCATTTTTTTCTTCATTTTCCGAAAGAGCATAAAAAATAATGTCCAAATGTCGAAAACCAATTGAATATGTAAGTATTGTCTGAGATATTACCATCTGATTAAATATACTCCCCATAGGAGCTCAGTGTTATATGCTCTGGCTCCTAACCACTAGGAGCCAGAGCATATAACACTGAGTTCCCATAGGACATATATTTATTCAGATGGTCATATCTCAGCCAATACTTAACATATTCAATTGGTTTTCGACATGTGGACATTATTTGTTATGCTCTTTTGGAAAATGAAGAAAAAATTGAGAAATTCTAAAAGTAGAGTTTTATGACGTCACAGCTTCTGTACTCTATTGTTGATGATGTTTTGTTCCATGATCTTACGTAATCATTATGTTATCATGACTAAATATGACTCATTTTTAAATTGCAATATAATTTCATCTCTTTCAGTTGATGCAGCATGTTTCTTCTCCTCCTGCTCTATCTTGTGAACCTTCAAGATTGGTGGAGGAGTTTCCCAAATGGTTGGAGAAGGTTTCATCGCGGGTAGCTGGTGGTATCACCATCATCATCGATTCCTTGGACAATCTCCAAGTAAGATCTGATCATGATGATGATAATGATGATAATGATGATGATAATGGTGATGATAATGATGATGATGATGATAATGATGATGATAATGATGGTGATGATGACAATGATGATAGGTATGATGGTGATGATTGTCTTAATTATCACGATGAAGATGGTTTTGATTTTGGTGGTGATAATGGTGATGGTGATGATCATGATTTTCATGATGATGATGGTAGTTTTGATGATGATTATGTGATATTGATAATGATAATGATGATGATGATGATGATGAGGATGACATTGATGATAATGATGATGGTGATGTTTCTGTAGATATTGATTGACAAAAATTATATATTTCTAAAAGCTAGAAGTGGGATAACAGTTGATCATCTTTTATCTTGCCAATCAGAATCGAGAATGTCACCTTGGATGGCTGTTAGACCCTCTCCCAGTTGATACCAGGGTGATCGCTTCAGCCAATCCAGAAAACTGTCTACCTGCTTGGAAGTAAGTTATCCTCTCTATGTTTTGTAATTCCATGTTCTTAAATTTTCTTGTTTCTAAACAGCCTATCATTCCTTATAGCATGATTATTTATTCGATTTATTAGTATAATTGTTTATTTGCAGTCATTTTTCCCATCACTAGAACTGAAGAAATGCCTTGCCAGAGCATGATGTTGAATATCATTTATTCTATTGGTATCCTAAGACTTTATAAAAACCATTGACCTATACTTTTGTCAGAATGTTGGGTAAACTTTTGATCAACTGCATAGATAAATCACTGATAAGCTAAACCACTGATATCAATAGCAACTTAAAGCAGGACTCCCACTTAGCCGAGTTGTATTAGCGAGTTATGGGGAGTTGTGGTGAGTTGCCTCAAAGAGGCACTTGCAATAACTCGCGAATAATTTGGTATGGCTTAGCGTAACTCTTTACAACATTCCCCGACTCTCCTCGAAGTCGCGAGCAGTTCCAAAATTTGGAAAATGTTCAAAAAATTTCCCTGATTCGTTGCAATTCAAGGTGAACTCGCCTACACTCGTAATATACATGCATTACTTGTAACAAGCTCGCGCTGCACTCTTTATAAGGTGGGGAGTTGCTACGAGTGTTAGGCAAGTTCACCTCGAGCTACAACGAATCAGCGAAAATTTTGAACATGTTCAAAATTTTCACTGATTCGTTGTTACTCGAGGTGAATTCGTTGTTACTCAAGGTGAACTCGCTTACACTCGTAATATACTCACATTACTCGTAGCAAGCTCGTGCTGCACTCTCCATAAGGTGGCTAGGTGCTACGAGTTATGAAGAGTGCAACGGGAGCTTGTTACAAGTAATGCGTGTATATTACGAGTGTAGGCGAGTTCACCTCGAATTGCAACAAATTGGGGAAATTTTTTGAACATGTTCCAAATTTTGGAACTGCTCGCGAATTCGAGGAGAGTCGTGAAATGTTGTAAAGAGTTACGGTAAGCCATACCAAATTATTCGCGAGTTATTGCGAGTGCCTCATTGAGGCAAATCACCACAACTCCCCATAACTCGCTAATACAACTCGGCTAAGTGGGAGCCCTGCTTAACACCATCATCATCATCATCATCATCATCATCAACCTTGTCATTATTATCCTCCTCCTCATCGTCATCATTGTCACTGCATTATATACATCACTGAGGTACGCCTAATCACAACATCACATAGAGCTGTATAGATTCACTCCAAACATTGGTTTCTACCCCCACCCCACCCTCCAGATCCTGGCCCACCCTCCATCTGGACCCCCTGTCTCCATCCCACTCCAAGGCTCTGATCCATGCTCTCTGCCAATCCCGAGGTCTCCAGGTGTCTCCGGAGCACGAAGCCCTCTCCCTGGCCCACTGCCGCACCCCTGCTGCCCGTACCCCTCTCTTCATCACCCTCATGGTAGACGAGCTGGCGCACAGCGATCGGTCGGTGCCTATCGGGGAGAAGCTTGCTGCAGGGTGTCTGGATTATGGGGATTCGGTGGAGTTGTATAGGTATATTCTGGAGTCACTGGAGACCGACCATGAAGATGCCACATGCAGAGGACTCGTCAAGAAGGTAAGATACATCTCAACCTTTTGTCATTTTCTTATGGGTAACCAGTCTTCAAAATTGTTTTGCTTTGTATTTCTATGCCTATATACTATAGTGAATACTGTATACAAAGACCGCACAAGGGAGAAGACAAGTAATATGGTCTTTTATGCAGGTGGTCGTTATGTACAGATTCCTTGAATGCACATTTCAGTGACAAACTCTATCAAAAAGAAACACGAAATGTGGTCTTTATAGACAGGTGGACTTTTTATATAATGGTCACTATGACAGGTTTCACTGTACATCTATATTCAAAATATCAACTTAAAAAATGAATGCTATAACTATAAAAAAAGAGTTGTCTTCAAGTATTTTTAGATTTAATACCAACTTGTGAGTATCCTTATTCACACATTCATATGTACAAGCATGCGCATGTTAAACTTGAAGTTAACTTCCATGCATGCCTTGCTAAGAAATGTCATCCCATTTGATACTTACCCGTTTGATTGTGCCAGATCATTGCTTGGGTTTAGTTTATGTACTGTTACAATAAATTTGTAGGAAATGATGGTCCCCATTGAAATCTTTTAGATATTATACATTTGTGTATGTCGTTGTACTATTTGATGTAGTAGTTGTTGCTGTTGATGATGCATAAAGGAATCCATTTTTTTTTTAATGTTCATTTTCAAGTTTGTTTCAAAATTATTATGTTTTAATTCATTTGTTTCAGCTAGTGATTATGCTTTCAGAAATACAATTTCTTTAGTCATAGATTTTTGTAATTGTTCAATGTAGGTGTGCTTGTTGGTTTATGCCTCACGGAATGGTATTTCTGAGTTGGAGCTGTTTGACCTGATACCTGACCTGACATGGAATCACTGGGCTCCTCTCTGCCATGACCTCATCAATAGACATGTCATGACCTTTAAGGCAGGGGTCGTGACCTTTGCGCATGCACAGGTAAGAAGTTGGCCTCTCTTATTAATTATAATAATTGGGACTTATCTACCCAGGGTAGCCTCGTCAGTATCATTACTGCTCCTCCTGCTGGCCCTGCAAGTACTATTACCAGCAATTGCCAGGTACCCTTAATGCCTTCAGCACTCTTAAGGGATCAGAGTGTAACAATTTCTGTTGTGTGATAGAATCTTGTTGCAATTATCAATACTAGTAACGCTGTTTTTTCATTTGACAGGCTTGTGATGCGGTTCGATTGAGTCATTGTAGTGAACCCCACTGCGAGAGAGAACTGCAGGCTGTTGTCAACAAACTTGTCCATTACTTCAAAAAGCTTCTCAAGTTAGTAACCTTTCCTAACTTTATTCAAGCTTATTAGCATATTTATTTTTTCATGTGCATAATTTTGTTCAAATAGTAGTCAAAAGTAGATGCGTGCAACTGTCCTACTTATGGTCACTAATCTATGTTTTGTAAGATATAGAAATATGCAGTATGCTTAAAGAGAAGGTTGAGTTAATTCTGGGGAGACAAAATCATTTGTGAGCGTTAACATTGTTATTATGCAAGTATGGACAAATCAGACAAAATATGTTCCTTGAAAAGCATGGCTCCTCAAATGCCTCCATATTCTAAATATGACAAGTATAACAGCTTAAAAACGAGGCCTGATTTTTATGCCACATGGTTGTGTAGTCCCTAGACATCTTTCTGTGTACAGTGCTTGTTCCTTTACGAAGACTGGGCAAAATTTATTATCATTTTGACAACTCCAGAACCTTGTAGTACACACCAATACTATATACATGATCAGCTTTTTCTGATCGATTCTAGACCGTTCTTTCACGATGCAATCGCACGACCAGAACTGAACGTTATCTTTAAATTTGCTCCGAAAACCCAGAAGTGAACCATTAGAGTCTACCAGCCCATATGTGAACAAATCTTTTAGAATATATTATGTCTTGCATTTGATGTAGACCTGGGTCGACAACCTCTAGACTGACCGAGGAGCTACCATACCTGATCCAGGTCTCTGGGAGCAGCTCCAAGCTCCAGGAGACTGTCAGTAATCTCTGCGTCTTCAGGATCATGTACTCCAGAGGGCGCTGTTCAGACCTGCTGACGTACTGGCAGACACTCGGGGTCGACAGGCAAGCCATGGCTAATATCTACTTCACTACCATCAAGAAAGTAGAAGAAAGTTAGTGGAGTATTTTTTTTTTTTTTTTTTTTTTTTTTGGGGGGGGGGGGTCCTAGTGCAAAGTGGACCTTCTTACATACTTGCATATTTGTACATGGACTTATTTGTTGAAGAAAGTGAACAGTTCACAATTTGAGTCTTTCAGGAACACAATGCAGTATTGTTACTGAAAAGGCTGTTGACATATTCTTTTGTTAAAAGAACCCACTTATGGGGCGTTTAGAGGAATTGAGGAAGAAATATAAGGTAAAGGAAGGAAGAGATTATGAATGGAGTTTATCAAACACTTACATGAGACTCTTGTTGTTTTTTGATTTCGTTGAGATGAAATGGAAGGAGGAAAGAAAAGTGAAAGAAGGCATGATTGAGATTGAGAAGGTCATGAACAGATCAAAGTTGAAAAGTGAAAATAAAGAATTTAGTTTTGAAAAGAACTGTTGGTATTCCTCTGTGGAGTAGTTCTGAAAAGACTACAGTATACTCACTCACCATAGAAACCTACAGAGAACATCTTTAAGTGATCTGTGTTTTGATAATAATAATAATATAATAATAGGCATTTCTATAGCGCCGTCTATCTAGAAATTCTATTCCGAAGCGCATTTATTATTACTCCGGCTTTAGCCCAGCAGCCTTTTACAGCGCTCTAGCATTTCAAGGAAGTAATTGATAAAACTTTTCACACAATTGAAAAAAGGGAAAGAAAAGGTTGACTTTGCATTAAGTCAATTTTTCAATGTATCACTGCAAATACTATTCAAGATGGCTAAAAGACTGAAGTATCGAAATTCAAACAAAATACCACGTATGAATTTACCTGACTTAATATTTGAAAAATTTGTTGTTTTCTAGTCTTAGGATTGCTTTTATCACATGAATATTGTTTTTTGGTGTCATAGATCAAAATGGACAGATTCCCTTGCCTAGGATAGCTGACATGTATGAGATGCTAGCCCGATTTGTGAAAGACCTTGGACTTCTAAACCAGGTAAGATGGCAAAATATTCATGAATTTGTACTTGTCATATAAAATCAGTTTCTGCTGTTACTGCACCATTATATTTAATTGTATTGTACCTAGAGTGCAACCCTCAAAAGAGTTTGGGTAGGGGGGTGTACAGATGCATCAGGTAATTTCATTTATTCCAGAGTCAAAATCATCCAAGTCTACATTTCACCGGAGCACTTGAATTATTTCAAAGAAACAGTACAGATCAATAGCCCCTCATATCTATCAGTTCATCCCCTTTCTCCTTAACTAGGCATTGTGGCGTGCGCCTGTAATCCAGCTAACAATGGAAGTTACAAACTGATTCAGCTGAGTACGCAAGTTCAAAACTGAGTCATGTCTTTCGAATGGTGACGTTTAAAGGTCGGTCCCCAGACGTATATAATCATATCTGATTGGTACACGTCTGTAAAAACCCAATACACACACACACACACTTTCCCCTTATGCAGGCTATCTGGTCAGTGCAGCGAGCCCTTGAGATACGTGAGTCTATTGATCCGGACCATCTGAGTGTGGCACAGTGCTTCCACCTGCTGGGTGCCATACACGGACAGGGGGGCAAGTTTGGTTCAGCGGAGGCCTACTACCAACAGGCTCTCATGATCAGTGAGAGTGCGCTGGGGAACAGCCATGTGGATGTTGCCAAGGTTCTGGATTCACTGGTCGTCATATACCGTAAACAGAACAAGTAAGTCATGCTGATTTTGTGCATTTACATAAGAACTTACATGTGTAAGAACAATTATGTTTTTCTTTGAAATTTTGTATATTTATGAAAATCTGAATAAAGGCAAAAAAGCTTTTTAAAAAACCCCAAACCCAATTAGTCAATAATGGGCAATGAATGTGTGATTGATAATGTTGATACAATTTAAATGCTTTTTGTAACTCTTGAAAATGTCTGTACATGTTGAATATTGATACAGAAAAGTTTCCATGTTTGGGGTAAACATCACATGTAGTCTAAGCTTCTACCAACTTTAGCAATTTTAAGTACCGGTAGGCAAGCTTTAATCATTTATGTGGCCTTTCTCAAGCCAAGTGATTTTTCACACAGTTTCTTGGTGTCTGCTGTCTCAAGATCACTGGAGATGATAGGTGACAGTGAATAGCCAAAGTCCCTAGGATAAATCCTTTTGATCCAGATGGATTCTTTTACCTTTCTTGACCAAAAGTGTGTTTCAAAGACACTATGGGCATCATCCCTTCTAATGATGATGCCTACTAAATTTTAAGGTTGGTAGAAGCCTGAAGATTTGTTGAATATTAATTCAAAATACCACAGGAAGCAAGATAGTATAAATGGTGACAATATCAAAGCATTTTATCCACTGTTTCGTCTCTGTCGACCAAGGTGTTGAATGGATCCCTTGGAGAACAAGTCCCTAAATTGCACTATGTTTCAATGTTAATGGCTGCTGGAGCTAAGGTTCAGGTATTAGTCCCTAAACTGCTTTGGAAGCACAAAGAGACAATGAGTCATTATGTGATAAGCACAATACAAAAATGGAATTCTTTTTATTTTTAATTGAGGATACTTTCATAGAATTGTACTGGATCTCAAAAAACTACATGCCCTTGTTCTCCATCAGACATACTGCAGCAGATCCCCTCCAGAAGAGGGCTCATGTTATCCGCAAGCAGGCTCAAACCCAGCTATCTACACACCAAGCGAGGGCACTATCTGCCCTACGTCGTCGCACTCTTCAGATGGAGCAGCTGACGCAAGGGGCCGAGTCGGCAGACCTGGCACGCACTCTCAATGAACTAGGAATGCTCTATTATCTCCAGAAGGACTATCGGTAAGTTAGCTCATTCATTTCTCTGCCAGTCATACCATGCTCTCTCTGTCTAAACTGCGAGGTTTTATGTAGGATATTATGAAGGATAATTGGCGAAAATACAAATATTCAACAAAATGGTTAGGATGACATATTTTGTTTGTGAGCAGGATTTTATGGCGATTGGTTACTCTGCAGCCAAGAGTTTTTTTTTTTTTTTTTGGGGGGGGGGGGGGGAGCCATCATGTCTCCTCCCCCCACCCCCTCCTTCCAAGTTATTGTTACAAGTTGTTCTTCCTATTAAACCTTGTGCAATGTTGTTTTTACCCCCATTTAGCTCTGCAGAGAGCTATTTTCAGCGTGCCCTGGACATGCTCGAGTCTGTTCTTGGTCCTCACCATGTTGACGTAGCCCAGAGTCTTCACAGTCTGGCCACCCTTCACAATGATAGAGACGAGACCAACCAGGCACAAGAACTCTACGAGAGGGCGCTTGCCATTAGGAGCTCAAACATGCCGCAGGATCATCCGTTAGTGCTCGCTACTGCCCGCAGTTTGGCTGTCTTGTACAGGAAACAGGTGTGATATTAGCTTACCTTTCTCCTTTGAAGACAGTGCAGTTCATACCACCCCCCCCCCCCAAATCCCCAATCCCCATTCCAGAGAGAAGAATATCTAGAGGCTCTCTCACATATGATTCAGTAAACCATTGCAGATCTTTTTCATATTGAAAGTAAATGGCAAGTGGAGATGAAAAAAGTGATATTACCTTTGATTTTTCCTTGAGAACCGTTTATACTCCCCCCCCCCCCCATTCCTGAAAATAATTTGTAGGTTCATTCATATACGATTCTGTGAACCTTGGCATTTTTTAAAATTGTACGTTAATGGTAAGTGGGGATGGAAAAAAGCAGCTATGTGCAAGAAAGGTCCAATGCGTAATCAATCTGTGTGATATACATGTAAGGTACAGGAATGAGAAGCACTCTACTCTTATTTTGCCATGGTGGTTTACTTTGGCACATGAATGAAGCTTAGTTGTATCATTCAGGAGAAAATATGATAATAACATTTATAATAATGATGGCTTCCTATAAAGCACGACTGTCATGGTGCTATATAGATTCTGTATTTTTATAGTTCTTGGTATATCTTTGATGTCTCTAAGTGCTCTATGATTTATGTTGTAAGCCTAATATTTCTCCCCATTTTGTTGTAGGGTCATTATGACAAGGCTGAACCACTCTATCTTCAAGAAGTCGAATCAAAACAAAGAAAACTAGGAGGAAATCATCCCAGTCTGGCCACAGCTCTGGTCAATCTTGCAGTACTACGATGTCAACAGGTAAGACTGAAAACTGATCACCAGTCAATCATTCGAATAGCTCATGAATTTGATGTGCTTTCTTGCATTTTTATCATTGAAGTTACAAATGAATTATGTCGGCTGTTCCTTTTTTGTGATTATTTACAATGCATTACTTGTTGACTGTTTTGATAATTTGTTTATTTCGTTTTATTACCACATCAACTATAAAGTATCGATATAGATTTCTACAAGGATTACATTTCTTGTTAGTATGTTAACCTTTCACGTACAAGAGAAGAAAATGTCCCAAACTAGTGTAAAGCTTGTGTTATAAACACATTTGTGTGAGGTTGTATTATATGAAAACATCAAAATGTTCTGAACTTAATGTCCATTGTTTACAAAGACACTGTGTGATAGATTGTCTGTTAACAGTCATCAGGTTGTAATAGTTCTATGTTAAAAACATAAGAATTATGAATGCCTTTCTGGCTCTTAGCAGATAATAGGCTCATGTATAATGTTACCAGATTTAAAGGTAAAGACCAGTTGTGGTCATGCGATTGCATTGTGAAAGAAACGTTGTGGAATTGATCAGAAAAGGTTGATCATCTAGCATCTAGCATCTGCAAGGTTCTGGAATCATCAAAATGATAAGAAATTTGGCCCACTCTTCGTAAAGTTACAAGCAATATACACAGAAAGATGTATATGGGACTACCCTATATCTCTCACAGACCATATGAGAGAAACAAATTTACCAAATATTTAATTAGTAGGCAGTTTCCCGGCAAATTTTTTATCATCATGTATTAGTCAAATTATATTCTTCACATGATTGGTAATGAGAGCTTCCATTTCATTTTTTGAAATTGGGGCATTTCCAATACTGGTCTTTACCTTTAAAACAGCATCCGTGATACCAAATTGTAAATCAATCTTATGATATGATCCTTATACAGGGGAACCATGATGAGGCATCTCCCCTCTATGAAGGAGCTCTCAAGATATACGAAGAACATTTCGGGCCAACGCATCCGCGCGTCGCCGAAACACTCCGCAACCTCGCTGTGCTACGGTACGAGCAGGGGGACTTCCAAGAGGCAGCTGTGCTGTACAAACGTGCCAATGAAATCAAGGAATTGGAAGGGTATGGAAGTAAACTAATGTCGAGAAGGTCTTCCAGCGCTGGGTCAACGATACTCAAGTTGGCTGCCCAGGTACATGCTAATACAAGGTAGCACAGCGTGTCAAGATAAGGGATCATGTTCATAAATCCTTCCAAAAAGCAGCTGTGCTGTACAAACGTGCCAATGAAATCAAGGAGTTGAAAGGGTATGGAGGTAAACTAATGTCACAAAGGCCTCCTAGTGCTGGGTCAACAATACTTGAGATGGCTGCACAGGTATATGCCAACACTAAGTTTAAACATTTGTTTGGTAATGTGACAATTTGTGTATACAAGGCTTTGCACCAATGTACCTTGGCAAATATCAATGTGCTATTGCCCCTCTCAACCGAGGTGAAATTAGTGGGTGCTTGTAGCTGGTACTATTTATACTTATGATTTATAATTTTTGTCTAATCCTCCTTTTGTCATTTTACACAATTACTTGTGAGTCAGAGTCCTTTTCTCAAAAGTAACATTCTTGAAGATTGGACATTTTTCTCCTCTTTTAATGGGTTAGGAATTTTCAATCGTGATGAGTTCAATATAATTCTAAATCTGAAAATATTCTCTTTGAGAATCCGACCTGAACTAAAGCCAATCATATCTGGCAGCTTTTTGTTAGTTTTGTGATACTGGGTCACATATGATTTCGATATATACCAATTGGTGTTTAGTGCTGTAGATCTAGACTGGATTTAAAAGAAGAATTGTTTGAGACTATAGATCAAGAATGAATTAAATAACTAGTTCTGATCTGAAGTTATATGTACTGTATGTTCTTTAATCTTTATCATACAATATTAACAGAAAAGCATATCATCTTGTAAAATCCAGTAGTTTATGGGGAGTGTGCAAGAAATATATGAAGTCAGTGCTGATGTGTGAATACAAACTTGTAATGAGAAGTAGAAATGTTTATCCTTGAACAAAAATCCAGAATGTACTTCCTTTTGAATGCTTGTGTTCCTTATCATGGTAGCCATGCTAAAGCTGGAATGATAAGATATGATTGCATTATTAATTATTATAATTATCATTACTATTGGCAGTATTGTTATCATTAGTAGTAGTAATAGTAGTAGTTGTAGTAGTAGTATCATTATTAGTAGTAGCAATAGTAGAAGTAGTAGTAGTAGTAATTGTTATTTTAATTATCATCTACCGTAAATATCCGTGTATAAGGCGCACCTGTGTATAAGGCGCACCCTTATTTTGGGGTGGAAAAAAAAAAAAATCATTTTTGTTTTTGTTTTGTTGTTGTTGTTGTTGTTTTGTTGCCGAAAACCCACGCAGGGAAGGACCTTCATTTTACATCGAGGTGCAGTTGAAGTTGTGAACTTGTCACAAATAATAGTAACAACAGTCTAAGGCTTCATGATACAAAGTGTCCCACACCAGCCTCATCACATCACCTAGCAGAAGCACTGTGTTCTATGCCAAACATCAATAGTCATGCATGATATGAATAGCATCCTCTAAATTTCTGACAATCGAGTACCTAGGATAGAACCTTGTGGTACACCATTTGTTATAGAAAAAAAAATTGAGGAATTATTATTATAAACTAAATATTGAGATCTGTTAGAAAGATTACTTTCAAACCAAGATGACAGACAAATGTGAGTGTTGTTGTAGTTTCCGAGTGGTGAGTCAACACACTGATTACTGAGCTAGGAGACATTGTCAGACATAGCGCCATAAATCGAAACTAAAAAAAAAAAAAAAAAAACAACCTGTACCTGTGTATAAGACGCACCCCCGACTTTCAATTTTTTTCGGCGGCAAAAAAGTGCGCCTTATACACAGAGATTTACGGTATATCACTTTTATTTCAAACATGAATTTTGTCTTCCATACTGATATTTTCTCAGAACAAATTTATGCAGTTGTTCATTTTCCTCAGTCTTTTTATACCACCTTGAAATTTATTTAATATTCATCATGTACACGACTATATATTCATATAAATGTGTTTATTGTTGTGTTTAAAAAAATATAGAAGTACGTATTATCTATTTGTGTATATATATATATATATATATATACAACTGGCTGATATTTATATAACGTCAAAACCAGTATTGAAATTTTGATTGTATTTATGTCTAGTGATTGTGAGTATAGTGTGATCAAGATAAAGTTCACCAAATGCATTAAATAGAAAAGGAATGGAGAAGAATAATCAGATGTATTTGTAGATAGGTTTAGTGCAATAGATGTCAGTTATAGCATAATAAGTAGAATTTCCAAATTTTGCATGAGGCTCTGCTGTATTCAGAATGTGAGTTTCAAATAGTAGGCCTATTTCGGAGAAGAGATACTGCAAGTTTAAGTATACTCCTGATTAACATACAAGCAAATTTTGAGTATACTACTTGCATGGAATAGGGCCTGCACTGATCCCAAGTCAGACTTCAGTGGGCTCCAAATCCATTTGTCCATAGAATTCTGGATAAAATATTCTTTTAGTTTGATGTTATAAATTCTAGCTGTACACAAATTATATTTTTAGGTGATTTGTACACTTTAAGATTGAAGTGGACTTGGACTGCAAAACAGAAGTGAAAGAAATTGTTGCTATCAACTTCCAGACCTGGATCATGGAGATCAGCACTTAGGAATACATTGTTTGCCCTTGATCCAAGTTGAGTGAATGGCCTTTGCAGCATCCCGAAGGGGGGGGGGGGGGGGGGGGGTGGTATGGAAGGTCCAAAGTATTCTGTGCAACGACAGGAAATATTTAGAATTGTTTGTTTTAATCATGTATGTTTCGAGAAGAGATCACAATAACAAGCAGTGTTTTAGCTCTTAGAACATGCAATCTTGACAGTTCATTCAGTGCATGTTGGGGAAATTACCTTCACAATGTGTGTGAATGCATTTTCATTTGTTGTTTTAATATGTATATTTATGAATTATGAAAACAATTGTTTATGTTTTGATGAATCCTTGTTTATGCATCTAGGAAGAGCTCAACAGACAGTATTGTATTCACGTCCAAACAGTTCAGTATTATCAAATCTCTGGCTGCAAAGTTATGTATTTATTACATGACATGTTCTGTGTTTTACAAATTGTACATCTTTTAGAAGAGCCAGATTGTGACAATGTATATTTTTATTATACAACATTGGAGTATAGTTTTATAATTAGATTTATATTTTTATATATTTGTTTTGTAATGTCTAAGAAGATATTATTAATAAACAACAAGTTTTGAAATGACAGATGTAGTGAATTCTTTGTGACAATAGAGTTCTTGTTCAGATTTTTTTTTTCTTCTCATTTATGGGGCTTTCACATACACACTCCGGGACCTGTACAATGAGTAAAAACAGACATTTTGGGAATTTTCGGCCGGTTTCCGGCCGGCTGCCGTAAAGTTCCTACGGGCGCCGGGATATTTTTTTTTAGCCGTACGGGTGCCGTGGTGCTGAAACGGCTGCTCCCAATTCTCCCGGCATTTTTATCTGACCGTTAGGCCGTAGAAAGCCCGTAAAGAGCCTGTAGGGCACCTTATAGGTTCCGTGCGGGCTCCGGATGGTGCCCGGATGGCCCCTCATGATTTTCTTGGGTAAATTCTCACGAAAAATCTTTACGGTTGCCTTGCGGTTCTCAAGGGTGCCGTACGTGTACCCTACGGCTCCCTCACAGGCCCCTCAAGAGCCCCGTTGATATGCATCACACCGGGCGTCTGCCGTCCAAGGGCCATTTGAAATGAATATTGCCCATGCGGGCCCCTCACGGTGGCATCTCAAAATGTACAATGTAGCTTTAAATACAGGAGGTACGCATGTCAGAGAACACATAATTCAGGGCACCGCACAGCACCCGCCCGGGGGCATTGAGGACACCGGCAGGGCACCTTCCGGGAGTCATGGGTACACCTGCTCATCGGACGGACCCCGTAAGCTTACAGGCTGGCACCCTGCCGGCATTTCACTCAACCAATTTTCACCGGGTACCTCCCGGGCACCGCAGAATATGTGACCGCAGAATATGTGACCACACATGCCATAGAAATTAAAATCGGATGGTTCCCGTACGGTCTCTAGATCCACGGCAAGCCGCCGGGTAGGGGAAATCGTACGGAACCCGGTTCGTATGTGACCTAGGCATTACCTGTAGTCATTCCCCTCTCTACCTCTCTCTCTCCTTAAATGTTATTTAAAGTTTTCAGCAATGTTTTATGTTTTGATCAACGCATCAATAGTGAAGTTCTTCCATACATGAAGTGAATTATTGTCAGTATTAAAGTAAATTATAATTGAGAATTAAGCCTTCAAGAGTCAATAACCATATTTTATTGCCATGACCCCCCCCCCCCCCCTCTCAAGTTTTTCCTCCGTCTCTCTCTCTCTCTCCCCCTCACTCTCTCTCAAGTTCTTCCTCCGTCTCTCTATATCCCCCCTCCCCCCTCTATCTCTCTCTCTCTCTCTCTCTCTCATCAATTTCTTCCTCCGTCTATCTCTCCCTTGCTTTTCTCTTGGTTTAATTTCTTTCTATTATTCTCTCTATTATAGTTGCACTACCACAACTTGACAAAAGCCATTTGAAAACCTTTATTTTTAAGACCTAAGGCATATACAGGTGTACATATTTAATGCATTGTTTTGATTTTAGTTGAAGTTCCAAATTAAATGACATAGAAATAACAAATCTCAACATTTGATTTTACATCCTGTTGCGGCAAGAATAGGTTTGGTAATGTCCTTCCACAAAGGCAGGGTAGAAATTATATTCAGTAGTTGCAGTATATTGAGAAAAAAGCAGTCAAGGTATAGTATTACTCCCTGTAAATTGTGAAAATCCCCAGGATTGCAAACAATTGTAAACTGCTGGTCGCTAATCACTGTTGGTCGTACTGTGGTGTCTGGCCGTTGAAATCTGGTCATCATTAGTACGGAAGAAGTTGAAAAAAGGAATTAACAGACTAGCAGTTAAAACTTAAGCAATTTGAGAATTTCACTGTAGTCAGATAAGATGCAATATGCAATTCATAACTCCTTTGTAATATTCAGTCAACAAATTTCAGACTTCAAGTATTTGATCATAACAAAACATTGCCTGCAAATTCTTTCAATGTTCAGTTTCATGAAGCAAATGTGAATAGTAACGTGTCTGTTTTGTAAGAGGGGGGGGGGGGGTAGGGAACGTGGTATAGCAGAAACTACTCTATAGGAGGATATGTTGAGCAGAAGATGGCTACCAACATGTGATAGAGACTGAAATTGTCATCAATAATTGTTTTCATAAGTAATGTACTGTATGGAGCACCCAAGCTTTTTTTGTTCTATTGAAAAATTTTGGATGTATGTATTGTATTAAAAGTATTTAAAAAGTCATTGTACACATTTTAAAAGCTGATAAGATAAAATTCAAATAAAGTTGATTTCTTGAGAGCCTCTGCATATGTGTTGTACATACTTTGATTGTAGGTCAAGAGTCGGCTTCAAAGTTTCTTAGCTGAGTAAATTTCAATTCCCCTTTCACTATCATGCAAGACATGTTCCACCTGAAACTTCTCCTTCATCATATCTAGGAAGTTATTATCCCTCTCGTATCTGATACGACAGGAAAGAAGAATCAAAGTGTTCTCATTTGAAAGATGTAAGAGAGTCTGAAGCAAATCCTGAAACGTGTCTTCGATGTAGATGATATCAGCTCCAAGAATGATGTCAAATGGCTCAGAAAACTTATGCAGATCCTGACCCCATTCCAAAACCTTCACTACAGGAACAGGCGATGGTGGTTTAAAAGTTGAATTTACTTCAGATGGAGCATTGGGGTTTGAACTAGAGGATGCAGCCGGATTAAATGATGAAGATGGTGAAGGCACTGAAGATGACGATGGTGGGAAGTTTTGCAAAACGTTATCCCTGAGAGGTTTGAAAATGGATGCCCGGTCTGTAATGGTAAGGTGACCTGGAATAAGAAAAAAAGAAGAAAAAAACCTGCAATGATTTCAACCAAAGGTGATAAAAGATAGAACTCAGTCAATAACTTGTTCATTTCTGGAAGACATATTTTAAATGCTGCACACTTCTTATGATTGGATGTGTATGGGTATAATATTTGATCCAATTATTCTGTCAAATCTTTATTTAGTTTTAAATATAAGAACATAACAGCAGTCAAATTACTATCTATTTAAGCATTTCAGGAAAAACAAAGATTGCTCTGTACAATTCTCTTTAACATATTGCAAACTTAAGAGGGTAACTGAGGATAAGTTAACTTTACAATGACAACAAAAATACAAATCTGAATTTCAACAAAAGTACCTTTTAAATGTGAAGCTACCATGCCTACCAGGCCTGTACCTGCACCAAGCTCTATGACTCGCTTCCCTTCCAGAGATAATTGCTTTGTTTTCGTCTCACTCTCCAAGTGTTCACACAGAACTATTGCCTGTAATGCAAATGCCAAAAGAGATCGATATAATCAAAGTAAAGTTATATTATTATTCAGAATTTATAGGAACTGGAAACAAAAAAAAGAATCATCATCTCTAATTCTTATTCATTAAATATGCTACAGATACTAGTACTACTACTATTTCTACTTCTATGACTACTACTACTACTTCTATCTACTACTTCCAGACTACAATTATTTACTCATCATGGTTTTCGAAAACATTCATTTCATATGTCGTGTGTATAGAGGTGGGGAAAAGAAGACTAATTTCTGTTTTTAAGCAACGATCGAAGCGCTATTGTGTGGAGCGAATGGCTGCTTATTATTTCACGTTAATGCCATATGATAATATTAATAGTAATGATGATGATGATGATAATAATAACAATAATGATATTCGAAATGAAAATGAAAAACAGGCATCAATGAAAAATATGCTTAAGTATAATTAGTTATCCAATGTTATACATAAGTGATGCCTTCAGACATCATAAAGGACGCGCCTATACAAATACATGTACATGTATATCTTACAGCATCCCAGACAACAGCAGCAACTCCAAAATCCGCCCAGTTCTGCTTGATTGAAAAATCCCTGCTGGCCAGATGAAATGTCCTTTCAGATTGGTGAAACTGTTCAAAAATTGGAGGACTATACAAAACTATTGCATTTTCATTTGAGTTTGAAGGCAGCGGGGCACATTTCATGTTGTCTTCTGCCATGTTCCGCTTTCGATCAAAATCATACCAAGGGCCAAGGGAAGAACAACATGAACAAGAACTAGAGCAAGATGTTTCCGCTGCCGCGACACCAGAAGTTGCGAGACAGCTCCCCGACAGCACAGGGCTAGACCCGATTGCAGAACCGTGAAGAAGTTGGCTGCTTGTGCTTGCGCTTTTAATTGTGCATGTCATTACGACTACACAGAGCACATGGTCAAGCCAAATGTATATTTTGGAGAAGGCGAATCCTTGAATCATTTGTAGTCAATCCAAAAAATGTTACTTAAAAAACAGAGACATTTTCTTATATTCCAGAAATATTAGACAGATTTAGGAAATTACGGTCGCGACTTCGTCGTTTTTGTCACGTGTACATGTTTTTATCACGTGACATTGTTTACTATAATCCCGTAGGATCGATATCTCACCAGCTGAGTAAAACCATGACGACGTGGAAACAACGTGTAGGATTGCATAGCGAATGCACGATACGTACGCCCAGGCCACAAATACACACGCCGCGCTCCTAATTTTGGTTGATAATTTTGGACTGTGCAAGGACATTTTTAACTTCAAATATCAAGAAGAAAATCACACATCATCATGCCTGGAGGAACTCAAGGTAAAGGGTGTAGAGCATAGAGGTCAACTATCAAATCAATGAATTATTCTGTCGATCAGCTTTGTTTCTTGTCAAAATTAATTCAGTTCCAGTCAGCTCTAGACCGAATTTTCCGTCTCTTTCGTTCGTTAGCCTCTTATTGGGGTAGGGTCGGCTCTCTCTTTAGAGACGGAAGCCGTTTATACACATGTCCTTGCTAACGCCACGGCCAGTTCTGGTCGTAGCGTTTTGCCCCCAAAATCCCCCAAAATGTCATTTTACCTCGAGCATGTTATATTGTAAATTAGGCCTAGGCTATAATAAATCAGTTCCACTTACCAACTTGACTGAAATAATCAGTTTAATAGTCCCTTTTTAGGAAATTATGGGTCAAAATCGGAATCCATGTTGAAAAAGATGGATTCCGATTTTGACCCATAATTTCCTAAAAAGGGACTATTAAACTGATTATTTCAGTCAAGTTGGTAAGTGGAACTGATTTATTATAGCCTAGGCCTAATTTACAATATAACATGCTCGAGGTAAAATGACATTTTGGGGGATTTTGGGGGCAAAACGCTACGACCAGAACTGGCCGTGGCGTTAGCAAGGACATGTGTATAAACGGCTTCCGTCTCTAAAGAGAGAGCCGACGCGACCCTACCCCAATAAGAGGCTAACGAACGAAAGAGACGGAAAATTCGGTCTAAGTCAGCTCGTACTCAGCTCAGCTCAAGTTTTTAACAGTTCAATAACCATGAAGACATGAAATTTAAATGATAACAATTGCTCAAGAATGATTTTTTTTTAGACAGGGCCGGGGTCTAAATAATGTTTAAACAAGGTTCTAATCTTCTATATTAATATCAGCACTACATCGATCCTGACTTATGGATCCTGCTGAGCTGAGTATCGTAGAAGTAGAAGTAGTCTAGAAGTGCTGCAGTTTCCTATTAGTATTAAGTTTATCTCAATTATTGATTGAATTGAGCTTAGCCTTAGATAGACCGAATTTTCCGTCTCTTTCGTTCGTTAGCCTCTTATTGGGGTAGGGTCGGCTCTCTCTTTAGAGACGGAAACCGTCTATACACATTCCCTTGATAACGCCACGGCCATTTCAGGTCGTAGCGTTTTGCCCCCAAAATCCCCCAAAATGTCATTTTACCTCATGCATTGATTATTTAAAATTAGGAGAAGGTTATACTACATCGGTTCCACTTACCAACTTGACTGAAATAATCCGTTAAATGGTCCCTTTTAAGGAAATTATGGGTCAAAATCGACATCCATGTTGAAATCTTGCAAGCCGTGTTAAACTCTCGCTGCGCACGGAGTCATCTAAATCAATCTCATCCTTTTTAGTCTACGCCGAAGGCAAAACGATTATGAAGGAAAAACTGTGATAATGCCATTACGAACGTGTAGATGGCGCACAGTTTTTCCTTCATAATCGTTTTGCCTTCGGCGTAGACTAGAAGGGATGAGATTGATTTAGATGACTCCGTGCGCAGCGAGAGTTTAACACGGCTTGCAAGATTTCAACATGGATGTCGATTTTGACCCATAATTTCCTTAAAAGGGACCATTAAACGGATTATTTCAGTCAAGTTGGTAAGTGGAACCGATGTAGTATAACCTTCTCCTAATTTTAAATAATCAATGCATGAGGTAAAATGACATTTTGGGGGATTTTGGGGGCAAAACGCTACGACCTGAAATGGCCGTGGCGTTATCAAGGGAATGTGTATAGACGGTTATATAGACGGTTTCCGTCTCTAAAGAGAGAGCCGACCCTACCCCAATAAGAGGCTAACGAACGAAAGAGACGGAAAATTCGGTCTAAGCCTTAGACAGAAATAACCGTCTGATAAAAGTGATATGGACTGGGTCATTTCTTTAATAAAACTGACACTTGTTGACATTCCGTCAGAGGAGCCAGATGCAATCTCGGCGGAATAGCCGTTGATATTCTTGGTTGGTTGGTCCTCCAAAATACTCGTCTGAGTTTTAACTGGAGGTGCAGGTAGGGTATTTGTAGATTTGTAGAGACTGAAGCTTTGGGTCTAATCTGAGCTGAGCAAGAACATGTAATCGTCCACCCTCCACTCTAGCTTCTTCGGAGTATTTAGGAGGAAATGAATCCAAGATCCAAGACAAGAACAATGTCAGTTTCACAAGAAATGAAATGGCTCTTTGAGTGTATACTGAGCATGTGTATGCAATTCGATGAAGAACATGTGCGGCGAGAACGTTCGTCGTAAGGACGCGATTGACGTACGTATGTAGCTAGCATATACGTACGCGTGCACTTACGTTCGAAAAAAAAAATTGCGTACATTCTACATACCAAATAATTTATTGCGTACATATGGAATATATCTTACGGTATACGTACAAAATAATTTTTTGTTTTTGGTTCGCAAAAATGGCATGTTTGGGGCTTCGTAATTTATTAAGTGCTTGTTGAGATGAATTTTTCTTTAATTTTGTTTTAACTCTCTTTACTTTAGATTTATAGACCCTATTCAACTTCAAGAATTGAATTAATTATTGAGTATAGTCTATCTATAATTATAGACCAAAAGTTTCAGACTCTGATATCGACGGTTGTTCCGCTGAGATTACATCTGGATCCTCTGACTGCCTCTACTCTCTAGATCCTATACATAATGTTGACAAATACTGTTTAAGTTTAAATTCTAAATCTGCTATTTCGAGCTGTCTGACCAGTTAATGTATGACCAAGTTTTTTTTAAATGTCTTTTTTCTACTCAGATTGGTTTTATCATGCTCCTTCTAAGAAGAATGAGGAAGGAGCCAAGGAATATCCTGCTGCTTCACAGATTCCAGCCTTTGGGGGCGGTATTCCCTATAATGAGTGGGAAGCAGATGAACGTGATAATGACGGTACAAAGAGAGGATGGATTCGAGACTCAGATACCAAATACATCCAGCTCTGTAAAAAAGGAGGACGCAAAGGTATAGAAACACTGTTTAAAATATTCTCCCTGTATTTTCTAGCTCTCCTTCCCTCTCTCTTTCTCTCTCTTTGTCTATTACAGATTCTCCATATATCTCTCTAATACCCCATTCACAGTGGTTTTGAAATTTGTAGCGGCGTTGTAGCGGAGCGGCGACACCGCCATAACACCGCTACAAATGCATTCACAGTAGAAAAGTTATCCCGCTGCAGCAGCGGGATAAATATCATGTACCCATTCACGCTGCAGCGGGTGATTTTTATTACCTCCGTAACAAACACGTGTATGCATGGCTCATGACCCGCGAGTGACCCCGATATGACCGGAAATACTTCAGCGCGGGGTTTTCGATTGCTTGAAATTGCGCGCGCTAGCTGTACTTTACACACTCTTCCTCATGTAGCTAGCTCGATTTAGCTATGGATCTATCTATACTTTGACGTATTGCTGTCGCTTTCATGTCAAGTTGCTTTTTGTATCCTCGATCATATTACTTTTTAAAAAACTAGCATTTTTATTGCTTCCAGTCAGAATATTTTAATTTTTTGAAGTGTGAAATATTTTTATTTGGATAATTATAATATCTACATGATAATAAAATCAATTTGAATCCACTGGTTACTTTATTTCTATTTCACTTTATGTTCCCCATTGCTGGAGAAAAGAGGTCAGTGATAGGTAAGTAAACAAATCACACGTGTTTGTCGCGGTGTTATAGCGGAGAGCCTTCACACTGAGTAAACACCGCGACAGCAGCGGGACTGTCCCACTGCTGTAGCTAGGCGAGCCTAGCGATAGTTTGTCGCGGCGTTATCGCGAGGCGGTGTTACCCCGCGATAGTTTATAACGGGTCCGAGCCTTCACACTGAAGACAACACCGCGACAGCAGCGGGACAGTCCCGCTGCTGTCGCGGTGTTTGAGGCCACTGTGAATGGGGTGTAATGTACACTTTATTGTCTTGTTTTCTCATTCATATATTTCTCTGTTGATTGAAATCATTGATGTATTTGTCCTCCCTAGCTCTCTCTCTCTCTCTCTCTCTCTCTCTCTCTCTCGCTCTCGCTCTCGCTCTCTCTCTCTCTTCCCCTGCTTGACTTGCTCTGTCATTTCTAGATACACGTATGAATAGTACATGTAAATAAGGTATAAAGTACTTTTTTGTTTTCCTCTTTCCGCTTCTCAGTAAGTTCTCAGTAACCTACTTCTATACATGCATGATGTAGTCTTTTTGTAATTACAAAATGCTTTTTAAATTATTATTATATTTTTGTTTAACTGTATGCTTGTGTAAGGGCAAACAATTAACAAGTCATTTATATTTTATATAAAATCATTGATTATGCAGTATGACTTTTTCAACCCTTCTGTGATTCAATTATAATGTTGTCTGATGTCAATTGTTTTGTAGATTTGTTGAAGATCCGAGATCCCGCACCCAGAGCTGCTGAGCCTAAAGAATACCCAAGAGCAGAATGGTTTTATGAAGATGTTGAAAACAATGAAGAAAATAACAAGTAAGTTGTCCTAAATGAGCCATATTACAATTGCAATGAAATTCAAGGGTGCTGATTATAAACTTGAAGTGCTGTAACCATTGTTAGATAATACCTTTTTTTTTTTAGAGTAGTCATACCTTGGAAGTAGGCATAAAGTAATTTGTTACAACTATATAGTGTTTCACTGTCATAAACCTCCTTTATCGCAATCTGTTGATGACAATATCAATGGAACTGTCAGTTTAAGTGTGCTTCGATCATTATGGCATAGATCTGTGAATCAGTGTTGCATTTTAAAAATATTTGTCTCCTCTCTGTCCATCCAGCCAAGGGCAGTATAAATCACATCTTCCAGACTACATGGTATATGAAGAACACCATGGCGGGGAACCAGCAGAGGCCCATTGGCAGAGGCCCCCTTTCTCACTGGATGATAAGATGACGGCATTCGAGCGCCATGGCGATAATGACAAACTCAATATGAAGTTCCCCAATGATGAGTCCAAGCTGAGAAAGCCCCCCAAAGACAAGACTGTTTCTAAAGACTTCAAGAAGAGAAAGCCAGCCGATAGAAATGCTAAGAGCCCTGCAAAGAGTCGACATGCTAAAATGTAAGAAAATTGCGCATTCGTTCATTAATTTCTTTTGATTAATTTTCTTTATTGATGCACCAAATTTTTTATTTCATTTTAGTACCAATATCGCAATATAAATGCAATTGTAGGAAACCAAGAATTTTGTGAGGGTACAGTTACAAAGCGGCTTAATTACGTGTTATGTTGAAGATGCTTTTCTGTTTCAAAATCTACATTTTGTATATAGAGCTCTTCATGTCACAACACTGATTTATAGTAATACAGTTTGTCTATATATCTTTCGACATGTCATTGAATATGTTCATAGGTACCTTTACCAGAATATTTCAAAAAGCTGTGTTTAGAGTAAACTATAACAAAAAACTCTCCCCTGTTCCATTCCATAGTCCTACACCAGAGGCATACAAAGGTACCGCAAGCATTGGGAAGCTCCTGTCCAATGGCTACAACCAAGACTGGTATGAAAACCGAGACACCCACTTCAAGAATCACAAGCCTTCCCCGTCAGACATACAGTTTGAGACTTCTACCCGGGCCGATCGTCAGAGCACTGAATACAGGGATGCCATCAATAAGAACGTAAAGAAACCTGTAGGAGGAGGAGGAGGAGGAGGCGCTAGCTATGCAAAGAATGCCATGGAGGTCCGGGGAACAAAGAAGTCTGAGCAGGCTAAAGAACTCCATACTAAGCAGGATGAGGAGAAAGAGCTCTTTAAGCTTAGCAAGTAAGTAATCTGTTCGTAAAAAGCAATTGGTAATTGCATCTATATATTCATAAAGTGTCAAAACAAATGGGGAATCTATGCTGTGTGATATATTAATGAAGATACTGGATTTTAGTATAGCACTTGTGTCTGTCACACACGACGCTATTGGCATCCACAATTAGTACTCTGGCTTTAATAGCATTTGCATATGCCATTTTGGCACTCTAGCATTTCAATGAATTCAAGGAATTTATTCCTTCCAGGTACCCATTTACCTCATCTGGGTCAATTCCTGCCAAAAGTCATTAGTGCCACAGCAGGACTTGAACCTCAACAACCCAGTGACATATCCACTATACCATGACACCCCCACCAGAAATGTTATTGGTTATAGGTAGTTATTAGTTGACATATCAAAGTAAGACATGATGTATTGTTCACAAAATTTCTCAGAATCATGATGGCTTTTAAAACGTATCAAGGAATTACAAGGTAGCAAAATTAGCAAAGCTAATTATCATGAATTTAAAAAGGGGGAATCAGAGATGTAAATTGATTAATTTAACTTATTTTTTTTTTAATATATAAGATAAAGGAAAAAAGCTTACCCTTCTGTACTTATCAGTATAAACATTGGTAGTACCAAATACAACACAGGAGAGTGAGAGTTTTGAAATTCATTCAGTTCAAATGATAGTTATTAGCATGGTTTAAGTTTGTTATTATTTTAAGATATAAATCTAATTTTACATGGTACATTTGTTATTCTTGCAGGTTTGATAAAGTTGGGTCAAAGGTGAAGAGTCGATGGTCTGAGACACACGAGCGATCCTCGCCCATCACAGATACTTATGGTCAGCAAATAGAGCTGGCTCCTGTTTCTACTAACTAGGAGAGGAATGGGTATGTATAGGAGAGAGATAGATTGGCTGAATCAACTCATATGAAGTAAGAAAGAAGGAGCATTTACTGGATATGTATGGACAGATGAAATATCCACAGTGCATGCGTCTTAATTGGTAAACTACTTTCTGATGAAAGATAATCATAGGAAGGACAAAATGTGCTGGAAATTGTAAGTGATCATAGCTATGACCTCAGATGACATGGGGTCAGTCGCTTTCCGACACCAGGGCCCCGTTGCATAAAAATTACCATCAATGGCAACTACCATGGTAAACAGCTAGGTTCAACTGCCAATCAAAATCAAGGTTTCTATGGTAGTTATCATTGATGGCAAAGTTACCATCAATTGTAAGTTTTATGCAACGGGGCCCTGAATCACTTCAAAATGTTATTGGGATGGTGTAGCTAATATAAAGGATTCTGGCAAAATGATCTTTCAAGGTGCCTCGATCATCATGGACAATAATCACATAACTTTGTGATCGCTCTTTACACCTTCCACCTCTATGCAATACAATACACCACTATCTTTATATTGGTGCTCTAATAATGCTAGTATCGTGAACAATCTAACTAGCCCTGCAAGTCCCTTTAACATGGAAACAGCTTCATGGTATTAGTCATCTTATGTACTTGGGAGTCGTTCACCTCTTTGAGTATGTTTGTTGGTATCAGTAACACCATCCTTTGAATAAGCCCCTCTTTGATGGTGTGCCAATTTGATATTGACTTGCATTTATGGACATTGGTCAGCAGAAAGGGTGCTATATATTGCTTTGATGGTGATTTTTTAAACATTTACTGTTTCTGCTAATGTATTCCTGACACTCTTGCCAAATCTGTAGAAATTAAGAACTTTAAATATTAGTATGTTTATGTACATGTATATACTATTTAGTGTGAATTTGTGAAATCTGTTTCCTTCCATACTCTTTATTCGTGTTTGACGATGACTTGACACTATTTTATGGAAATTTGATAGTATTACGAGTACTACTTTGTGTCATCATTTTGAAAAATGTATATATTGATGTGTTTGTATTATATTTTACATACTTTACTTACATAAAAAAAGATTGTGTATAGATAAGTTATAATGAATTAATGCAGGTAATACAAGTCGTTTGATAGATATATGCTTTTTTTATACTTAAACGAGCTGTGCACCTCCTAGGGTCCTGTTGGTACGTCTTCAAGAGAATATATATTGTCCTATTTCTCTTCATCAAACCATTAATTGACCACAGGTACAGGATGGTTCCTGTATTAAGCCTATGGAATTAAGAGAATGCAGTAGACATCGGGTTAAGAAAATATAAACACAGACTGGATCTTTTTAAGCCCTCTGCACACCACACAACGGTCCTGCGATCTGATTTTGTGAAAAAAATGCAATTGTATTAGTTAGGAAATGTAGTCTCCAGTGTTCACAGTAACGTTTTTAGTCTTCTTTGCCAAGACAGAGTGTATTATACAACTCACTCCTTGATCCTAATCAAATGTCGGTCAAACACAGTCATGTACGATTCTTTTACTAAGACTATATCCAATGTTTTTTCATGAAAAAGTCTACAATAAATTTGTCGAGTTCTATCCAATGATTTTTAAGTAAGCGATACACAGCAGTGCGTGTAGAGATGGGTGAATACATGAGTATTTGAGCTCTGTCGTGTGGAGGTAAAGCTTAAGTAAGCCTATTAAACCTGGAATTTATTTGTCAGCGATTATTATTGAATAACATACAAATAATGCATATTTTAATTCATTCATTAAATGATCCGTCTTGATATAATTTATTTTAACATCAGATATTCAACAAGGATCTAGCTAGGAGTTTTGTTGTATAAAACAAATGATGCATATTTTAATTTCTTCATTAAACAATCCATCCACTCTTTATTGAGGTTTATGCACCTATTGTTCTTGGCCTGATTGCTTTGTATGATATAGATAGCCCAAACTTGAGTGTGGATAGATCATATAATGAATTCACATGCATCATTTGTATAATATCACCTCAGCTGATATGTCTGTACACATATTTGAACACTGTCTGTTGGTTAACTATTACCATCACCTGGTTTTACCAACAGGAACTTTAAAGAAAAATGAAACTCTTTGGGAAGTACATGAAGTTCTTTGCATTTTTTAAAAAGTAGGTTACCTTACATGTTCATCAGAGAACATACATTTTTTATGAAATATGCTTGTGTTGAGAAAGAAAGTTCTTGTTCAGTTATAGAGTTACCATTTGTTTGTCACATATCATGCAGTATGTGCTCAATATTCATGCCACCTATTTTTAATCCACCATGAAGTCGTAACATACTATGTCTGATTTCCGTCCTTTTTCTGTACATTTTTTTACAGTGTTTTAACATGACGAATGAACAAGTAAATATGAAGACAACTACAATTTTGCTTCGTTATTTGTTTGTTTGTTTGTTTGCTTTACTTTAGAGTGGTGTGTTTTAGTTACGACTGGCACTTTGTGATAATTGGATATGAGAGAGAGAGAGAGACAGCGAAACAGAGGGAGGGAGAGAGAGGGAGAGAGGGAGAGAGAGAGAGAGAGAGAGAGAGAGGGAGGGAGAGAGAGAGTAAGAGAGAGTAGTTAAGAAACGGATATGGATTAAGATGAATGACATGCTAGCAAGACTTTGAGATATGAAAGTATGATGCAAGTAGGCATGCTTTGGAATGCCCATTTCTAGGCTAATGATTTGGAACAAAAGATAGATGAAAAATATTTTCAGAGATGAAAATGTCAAAAGCCATATTTGCTGTGCTGTTTTTTCCCTATTTTAAAACTACCGGTAGTTATAAACTACTGTATTTTGATCATGAGAGAGGAGAATGAAGATATGAAAGTATGATGCAAGTAGGCTTGCTTTGGAATGCCCATTTTTAGGCTAATGATTTGGAACAAAAGATAGATGAAAAATATATTCAGAGATGGAAATAGTCAAAAGCCATAATTGCTGTGCTGTTTTTTCACTATTTTAAAACTAGTTAAAAACTACTGTATTTTGACTAAGCTAGCCAAGACTGTATTCAAACATGCTGTATGAGCAGAGCTGCCAACCTCCAGAACAGAAAATCAGTAATCACAAGGCTCAAAATCAGTAATTTGGGGTATAAATCAGTAATTTCTTATGCGGCGCTATGAATCTAAAAAAACGACACGCCAACACTGCACGGACGCATGATTATCTGAAATTTTTGGTGATTTTACTCACACAAAGATGTTAAGTATTGAATTTCAGGTCATCACAACACAGTTTATCATGAAAAATGGCTCCTATTCACAGCACTCGCTACGATTTTTTTTAATTTTTTTTTTAAAATCCGTAATTTGAGACAACATTCCGTAATGGTCGTTAATTTCCGTACCAATTACGGGAAATCCGTACTAGTTGGCAGCTCTGTATGAGTATAGAGTACATTCTGTGACACAAAGAAACACATTTAGCAATCAAAACATTGCATAAAGAAGTGAAACAAGTTTATTCTGACCCAAATTTATCTATATATTAAGATAAATATACAAAATGTAGAGAATGACATATACATGTTTACAAACACATCAATGACTATGTAACTGTACAGTAGTGGAACTTATAAACAGCTTTGCATAGCATTAGAAGATTGTGGAAATAAAACATTGTCAATATAATTTGATGATTGAATCAAGGGTCATAAGGCTATTTATAAGTACACACAATATTAAAAAAGTTGCACCTGCAAACACTTCTTAGATACCCATGTCACGATTGGTACGAGACCGTTAAAAAAAATGGCAGAGGTGCTCTCTATCTTTTTTTCATGATTATGATAGCTGAAGATACATTGAAGTTACAGCTTTACAAACAACAATCTATGAGAATAGGAAGGTATTGGAAAAGATATATTTTTCTATCTTAAAAAATGAGATTCCAATACCAATCATCATATCAAAAATACTTTATTTTATATGATAGTAGTTTTAGGTCGTAGAAAGATATTCAAAATACGAACTTCAAATATTACTCTTGTATTTTGAAAGTTCAAATACACTCTCAAGTAACATAAAAGCAACTTGCATATATACTACTTGACTTGACCACAAAGAAGAGGGCCTGCAAGGCCGGAACCCGAGTCTAAATTGGGTTTTTGTGTGTGTGTGCGGTTTTAAGTTATTTTTTCTTTAACCAATAGTCCTTAGAAATTCAGGTGAATTTTTTTTCTTTTCAGGTTGATTTTGATACGTTCTAGCTATAGACAATTTTGTATTCATTTTTTTTTTTGGGGGGGGGGGGATGATAGGTACACTTTAACTATTCCAAATCGACTCATGTACTTGCCAAACTATGACATCATACTTATACCATTTAATAATACAGAAAGAAAAAAGAATTTCGGAAGCTAAAGTACTTAATATGTTAAATAGGGCATGGTAATTTCCAGGAAATGTTTGCAGCACACAATCAGCAATACATATTTTCATTGAAACTCTCCCTCAATTGCACATAGGGTAAAGAAGTGTCAGTTTTTGCTACCTTGTGCCATAAATAGCACTTGAAATAAATCTTTTATAGTTGTTTATACTTACTCAAGATGCATAATTCTTGTAATATTCTAAGCAAATATACAACTGAATTGCGTATTTAACTATTATTGATTTATGTTCATAATCTAAAAGTGGTTAACAACATATGCAAATGCAAATAATTCTTATACTTGAAAACTAATATTACATACCTATATCATTAAGAGAAGGTCATGAATCTGATGATGAAAAAATATATAAAACAGCAATTAATCCTTATCTTTCAACATGGACTTTGCCATTATTTGTGCGAATATATTATTCTATTTATATCTACATGCTAAAAAATGTTGTTTTTTTTATTGGAGGGGGGGTGGGGGGTGGGGGAAGCTGTTTTAAATGTGAGAAAAACCTGAAAACTTTCCACTTCATATCGACAACATTCTGTCATATTTGACCACAATAAAACAATAATGGTTGAAAAGGAAGATTTAAACACATAAAAATATGGAACACGACAACAAAACACCACACAAACCGTTCTTATACAAATTAAAAATACTGATACGAATGGCATGCGATTTGTAAAATCATACTGTCTACATCATAACATTATATCTCATTTAATCAAGATCTTTGGTTGCAGATAATATTTCTCTTGAAAAGACTTGTCACCTTATAATGTGCATACTACTCTGTGCAAAGAGAATAAAATGAAAAAATAAAAAATAAGAATTATAATACGTATTGCCAGAAAAAAAAGAAAAAAAAAAAAAAAAAAAAAAATAATAATATATATTTACTGGTTCATAAGGTGGCAAGTAGGCCTTTGTGTATATGGGAGCTCATTTTCCAGAGAGAGTATAATAAAATATGAAAAATCCAAATAACAGCAGCAATTTTTTTTTATGAATTCAATAATTGCTATCGAAGTTATCAAACACAATATTTTTTCTCTTCTGACATCAACACCAACAGTATTTCAACCTGTGAAGAGTTCAAACCCCTTCTGTGCCCCAAAGTTGATAAAAAATTTACTCTCAAGGATTAAATTTAACTATATTGCTGGAGCTGATATCAAAATACAGCAACACACATTGAATTTGTAATTGAGTGATTTTGTCCTTCTTTTTGTCTGAATAAACACATTTACAAAGGCACATGTATCCATCTTAATCAAGAAAAATAATTAAGCACACAGAGGCAAGAGGACCAGGTTTAAATTAATAATTGTTTCTTTAAAAATTATCCTCAATCCCAATAAATATGATAAAATACTAAAAGTGCAATTTCTAACTAAATCTTCTAAATGAAAAAAGGAAATTAAAAAAAATAGTAAATCACCTAAAAACAGTTATGATTACCGGTACTATAACATACACTTTCATTCATTTCATGCACTTTGATGACAAATAAGAAATAAAACTTTCAGTAGCAGCAAAATGTATGAAAGATGTATCTACTCCTACTAAAATATAGCTAGCACTACATGCAATTTGCTTTTATACAAGCATCTATACTTCGTTTACACTTCTTTTCCTCACATATAAAAATATTGAATATTTACAAATATAATGCAGTGGGAAACCCTACTCATTCATTCATTTATTCATGTTTTTGATTGCTCTCTTTGTGTACTCAAAATGATTAATGAGCCCATAAACTAGCAAACAGATCAAGGTAACACCGGTCTTTTCTACATTTCTGCTAACTCTTGTTGCAAGACAATAAAGGATATCACTTCCCATGATTGCTTTTAATCATTGTAATCAGTTTTCAATCATTTCCAAACAGAACACTTAAGAAAATATCCTCTACATCTTTGATAGCACTGTCATGTTTGTTCACTTAAATTAGGTATAAATTAGTATCCATGGGGAATTCAGATATGTTTCAATAATATTCCAGCATAAACTATTAATCTAGCCCAAATTACCATCCTCGACATCCACAAGCTATAAAGAATTTCTATATCTCATGATTAATTATGAAAGAAAGTCAATATCTCCTAAAAATGATAAAAATGAACACGAGGTGCATTCACAAGTACATCCCCAGTAAAAACTTGATTTAGTGTACATACCAATAATAAAATCGCAATTTCAATGCCCTGTTGATTTGCATGTAGAAATTATAAAAACAAGCAGTACAAAGCATTGTTTCTAAATTCATTGAACATTGTTTAGTTTTGGTAAACACATACTTTTCAACAGAGCCTAACCTAGAATCTGGAGTACCATCATCAATGGGTTCAAATGTTTCATGTGGCTGAAGATTTGGGGAAAGGTGATAATCCTTTCTGCACCATGTTGGTAAAATCAATCTGGGCTAACTCAGTACTAGGGTCAACCCAGACTGGGCAGAAAACTGTTGCAGAGTTATCCAAGAGAGCTGAATCGATTGCAAACACTTGGTTAAAGTTTTGCATTAGTTACATTTCTCAGAACACCCAAACTGAAGATTATTTCATAGGAGTGTGTAAAATCTGATGCCCCCCCCCCCAAAAAAAAAAAAAAATCAAGAGGAAAATCAAGAAGACATGATATTTATGGTTATTTACAGGTCCAGTACGTAGCTTGCACTTCACCTCTTGAGACAATTTTTTTCACCAAGCGATACTGAGTTAGGCTGACCCTGGTAAAGTGAGACTGCAGGTGTGTAAGGATGAAATGGAGTTACTTTCTGTAGATGAAGACAAGAGTGTTCCATCTTTCTAGTCTCACGAGACGTGCTGTCATAGGTAATGACATGGATAATTATCCTTATAATACTTTCTGGAGGATGGCATTGGGCAAGTCCATTGTTTCATCTGATATTAGAACTATGTCAAAGCTGTCTTTGTATGATTCAAGGTTCTGATCAATCTGCAGGAAAAAAAGAGAAGAAAGAAAAATCCAGGATTAGAGGAAAATATATACATAGGTAACACTGACCTTATTAAATACATAATAGATTAGATTCAATAGTCCAGATGAGTTGCTCCTATTGTAATTAGCTGCACAATTTGGATTAAGTTTTTCTCCCTTAATCCTAAAATAACTTACATCAAAACGTCATTACCACATCAAATACCATTAATATTAACTTTACATCCACATTGATGTGATATTGTTCCTATAAATTATGAAGAATATAATTCTGAGCAAAACAAACAATACAATGACTATATTTTGTACTCAAATTGGCAGACAAACTCTTGTGATGTAAACTTTGTTACAGAAATGCACTAATTCAAGATGTACGGAATAAATAATATGACAATCATTGGACTAAGTTAAACAAAGTTCAGTCTCCCTTTCCATGGTTCTTTATTATTAAAACAGATAATGAGAGTTAAAGGCCATCTGTATTAGTGTACAGGAGGGATTAGTCCACCCTGCAAGGTCGCTGGACAAGTGGTTATCTCATCAAATGAGCTCTCAATTAACATAAGAAAAAGAAGATCATGGGGGACCAATGGTCACCGATTAGGCATTGTTTGTTATATAGAGGGCGCAATAGCTATAAGTAGTGCAGTGGGCCTTTAAAAAACCTCTTTGCTACTCACATGATCATTTAGGAAGCCAATGGTAAGAACATTCTTAGCCTGTGGCATGCCGTCTGCCATTGTCAGATCACCCAGTGTATCTCCTAGGAGGATGACGTTGGTTCTGTGTTTGTGACGCTCAAAGTATTCTGGATGATGGACAGCGACCTCATGCTTGTTGTACGTGTGGATCATTTCACCTTTGAACCCTACTAGGTTGTCCTGGAGATGAAGGGAATAGTGGGATAATGGAATGTTATTATATTGACAGTTAAACCTGTCTACAGCAACTGCCAAAGGGAAACACAAAAAGTGGTCTTTGCAGACAGGTTCCTTTAGTACATGTTTCAATGAGAAACTATTTTCAAGGGGAAAAAAATGTGCTTGTTGTAGACAGATGGTCTTTGTAGAGAGGTGGTCACTAAAGCAGGTTAGACTGTATTAAAACAACGGCGACAACAACAATGATTTTTGTTTGCCCAGGGAAGCCTCATTGGCATCAATGCTGTTCTTTCTGAGGGCCCTGCAATTATCATTACCCCAGCAATTGCCAGGTGCCCATTTACAGAACACCTGGGTAGAGAGCGGCAAATGTGGATTGTCTTGCCAAATGACGTTATAAGTCCTGGGATAGGATTCAAACCCCGATCAACCCTTGAATTGAAAATGAAAAAAATGAACAACTACATGTATATTACTACACCTCTACAAATAAATCTGACAGTGCACATATTGTTTGCTGGGAGAGGATCCCTTATTTAAGAAAGTATCAATGACACATCTGTGATACATACTTATTTATGAATACAGATCAACCAGTAAAAAGTTTGCTGACCTTTACAAGATTCAATGAGTGCTGCACACACACACACAATCTGTCCTTGCTTTTTCTTATATTGTACATGTAAAAACGAAAAAATTTCGATGCAATTCAGAACATCGATACTTAATTCACTGATGAAACAGTATTTTCTAAATTCAGAAAAGGGATTTGGCTGTTTGAAGAAGTCCTGACAAATTAATAATAATAGGACAAATCAGTTCTATTGACACCAGGGGGAATTGGAATGAAACATGAATCCCATTTTATCCCCTTTCGTAAGTTGCTTGACATTGAATTAGAGTTATGAAATGTTGTAGAGTGTACTTTGTACCCAAACAAACTCTTGCAACATAGTTTGGGAATTCCCACTATGCATGTGCAACATAACAGACTTACAAGACATTACTTAGTCTAAATTTAGAAGGCCCTAGAGATTTAAATCTGTCATGACTTAAACTCAAGGTACAAGTATTATGAATAACTGAGTACACAAGACTCAAGCAATGACATATATGCAAAAAAAAGTTATGATTTATGACAAGAAAGCATTTGCCAATTGAACCTTACAATAATAATATTTTAACGATTAAATGATAAAACATGTTGTTTGGAATCTGTTTTAAGAATGAAATGGAAATGAAGTAAGAATTAAACCTAAACTTCAATATAGTGTAAGCAAAGTAATTACAACGAATAAACACTTTTTGCAGTATATGTTCATTTCTTTTCAAGTTCTCAAGAACAATCATTGGTTTTTCTGAGAGGCTCCCCTATGATTGATATGATGTCCGATCACGATTGGCCAATTCTTGGCTTCATCTCCATCATCATGTTTTAGGACATGCACAGTCTCAGAGTTGGTGAAAATATCAAGCCAGGTCATGTTAAACCCTATGGTCACTATTCTAAGTGTCTAACAAGTCTACTGCAGTTTCCCTTGATTTGGGGGCAGTGGGTTGAGCACTTTAGTCCTGGGAACCATCATCCTCAGCTCGGGGTAGAGACTGTCAGGACAACTTTTGTATTTCACCTCTTATTTTTTATAAATTATTTCAGGTAAAACCATGATGAACAGTGTTTTGCCATTCATGGGTGTGGTGCAGATTAAGCACTATTGAACAGAAATGTTACATTTCTATTGTGTGTTACATTCCGGTGCCACTACCTTCTCCACATAACATACAGCTTTGTATAGAAAGTGATTGTCTTTTGTCCATTAGCTCTTTCTAGGCCTTGGTTGGTTCTATTGTAACCCGCTGGTGGATAGGATCTCAATAGAGTATTGTCAAGACTTAATCTTAGCTGGGATTACAGTCCTATGTATGAAGTAGTCGTTACTGAACATGTGGGTTTGTAATAGGGCAAAATGAAGTGAAAATGAACATGAAAGGAGGTGAAGGGGGAGGGGGCGGGGTAATCAAGAGTAGATTCAGGCCACTCATTTTTTACGGAATGAGCTAGGAGTCAAAATATAACTACATTCTTAGTTGGCATGTACTTTATTCAATGTGCTGTGAGTACCATACATAAATTTGGAAAGCAATAACCCCAAGCAGATTATGATATCCAGAATAATTGGCATCATAGTGCAATGATGCTGGATAACGAGAACATGCTCCTGGGGCCTGTTTCACAAAGCCTTTTTTCAATGACAAATGACAAATATCGGTGACAAATCTGCTGATAACCAATCAGAAGCAAGGATTTCAGTAGCTTATAACAAAAACTGTCATTTGTCACTGATGACAAGTTTTGTGAAACATCCCCAGATATCTTCCTGTCCTTCCCAATTTTGCTTACCTGTTCATCAAAGTCCATGAAATTTGAAACAATCTGCATATTTGGAAAGAACTTTGAGAACTGAGTGATGGCTTCGGCTAGGACATCCCCTATTCCTGCAGAGAATACAAGGCAAGGTACATCAGCGTCATTAAGCTGCTTGAAGAGCTTTGTGCTGCCTTCCCTTAGCACCATGCCTGATTTGGCAATCATCTCTTTCAGGTCTGCTCGCTTGAGGCCAGCATCCACTAGCAGATTATGTGCACTTGTCCACCTAACAAGAGAAAAGATAAACACATATCACAATCACATTCTAGGGGGTGTTTCACAAAGATCCTAAGATGAACTTATCTCTAAGTTGGACTTAAAAATTATGGAAAGCCGTTAGCATCTATGAAAATATTTTGTAAAAGCTATTTTAAAAGGCATAAAATCTTGATTCAAATCATTCATATTGTCTATTATCAAGGAGATCTCATGTTCTTGGTGTGGAATTCATAAAAACACCTAAAATACTTGAATTTTCACTTCTCAATATATTTTATTTTAAGGCTACAAATGGCTCTCCATAATATTTAAGTCCAACTTAGAGTTAAGTTTGACTTGGGATCTTTGTGAAACACCCCCCCCCCCCCCCCAGGTCATGGATCCCTTTCTGTTTCAACAAGTTTATGAGACATCTTCATAGATGAACTTTCAAGAGTCAAATTTAGAGTTTCAATGCTTTTTTGTTCTTCCATTTATAGATTGGTGAACACCCTTCCCTCCAAACGTCATGCAAGATTTGTCATTCTTGGTATAAGACACTTCAATCTGGTATCTGGTATTGATTCCCCCTCCACCCTGTAATCTGTGTGTATTGGTCTTACTTACCATTCTACCATGAGGTTATATTTCTCATCAATAGAAAGATTATTGGAAAACTCAAGAGGTAAGTATTTAGCTCGTAGCTTGTTTGCTTTGTCCCTGTAGCTTTCTGGCAGAGCTGGGCAATCATCTAAGACACCTGCATTCAAAAAAGACCATGCACTAAAAAATAAACATCTCTGGCATAACAAATCATTCAATGGCTGTTTCTGGATGTGAATAAAACATCAATTAGCTCCATGTATTACAGAATTATAATTATGATACCACTGATAGAAATATATGAAAGGAAATCCCTCTAAAGGTGGCATCTTCACAAATTAAAGTGACGCTTCTAAAGGAAGTTCAATTGACATGATCCATCCAATGTTGACTATTACATAATGCAAGGAAGAACAATTAGTCTGATCTAAGAAGATAAGTCCTATTCAGACATGACTTGATTAACCACCACCTCAACAAACTACTGTGTTATAAACCCGGTGCCAGTACAGTTCATACCAGCTTAGTGTACAGTACACATGATAATTACTTGGGGATGTTTCGCAAAATAAAGGGGTCATATTCAGGGATGTGGGCAGATGTTTCTATTAATGTTCCATTTTTCTAGAGGGTATTTCTTGATTTAAAGAGCAAGATACTTAGCAAGAAAGGGTCATATATTTGCAAATCTGCAAAAAGGGGGTCATGTTCGACTGCCCTAATGATCATACTGCTACCCCTTTGAATAAAAATTGATATCACCGGGGTGGCAAAAAGTGAATGGCAAGGCAATGTAATAGCATGAAAAATGATATCTGCCGGCACTAGCGGCCCCTACGGGTAGTCCCTGATCTGTCAATAAGATACTAAAATGTGATGTTCACTAAACCATATACCGGTAAGTCTTGCTGCTGTGTTAATAATGCAGACATGTCAGAATCATATTCAACTTGTCCTGGTAGTCATGGGTTGCTGGGAGCCGGAGCGATGTTTACTCATGTACTTTAAAGGTAATACAAAGTTTTGGGAAATTTTGAAAATTGGGTGGACAGTGATTCTTTACAATTTTGATATCACCTGTGGATGTATTTTAGACACTAGAAATTTAGCCTCTAAAACACTTCTGCTTTCGAGAAAAATTGAATATAAAAATTTACCAGTGCTCCCGGTAAATTTTGATAAATTTCAAATAGCGCCTACGGCCTTCAATGGTAGGCGGTCAATTTTAGTCAAGAAACATAGTTTTATAGCTTAATTAATATCTTGACCTTGAGTTGGAGCTATACAACACAAGGAGTTTATAATTTACAATTTTATAACTTTAGACTCGATTTCAACCGCGACAACGATCACTGAATATTGTAGGATGCATACATGTACACTGTATGCTTCCAATATGTTCATTTGAATCAAATTCATGACCCTATACCAAAACTTTGTATTACCTTTAACACTGTTAACACCCTTCTGACTCTTGGCACAATACCATGTTTTGTCTACATTTCTATCGTAAGTAACACCAATGGTAAACATATTTTTCTTTAAAATGAAAGCAAGAATCACACCTCCTCCCCAATTATACTTCTTAATTGGTCAGTTCAAACAATGGGGGTCAAGTTCTACTTACCATGGCATGTGGGTACCTTCCTGTCTTCAAACATGAACCTTGTTATCGTCCTGTCAAAGTCTGACACAACCTGAACAATGAAAGACAATCAGACAAAGTACATATTTACACTGTCCAGAATGACCCCATGGACCACATATCCACAGATCTTTTAAAGTGATACTGAGGTGATTAACTTTCTGCCCTAACATAATTATTGTTGGCTATCTCATGGCCAACTTGCCAACAGTACATGCATTACCCAATACCTAATTCCCACTTCACAGACAGAGGACGTGATGCGAGAAACCAACAGCGCAGCTCGGGAAGCAGTGAGTTAAGAGACCATACTGCTACAGCTGACCTGAGATGGCCCTTGGGGGGGGGGGGGGGGGGGGCGGGGGGAGGGGTGTGGGGGTTTGCGATAGTGCTTCTAGTACAGTATAGCTTCAAGCAAGGAGACTAGGAGAGGTCCCACTTACATATATGTGCATTTTAGAATTATCTATTATCATCCAAAAGTGAAGGTGCTTCATGAATAGTCTTTGTATCTTCATTTGAAAAGACTACTGTAATCAAGAAATGCACAGGTGGTGGAAACATGAATCATGATACATTAACTTCAAAGGGTACAAAACACCTAACACAATCATAAGTGTACAGCTGGAATACTGTAATGAATAGAATCTAATTGTTTTCTTTTTCTTTTGAATAAATGAATAAACTTTATCAAGCATTTCATACATATGTAGGTTAATGTCCATGCCTTTCTATTGCCACATACATTCTGTTATTAAAGACAACAGCGTATTAGCTATAGATTTCCCCTCAAAATCAACATTTCAAACTAAACCCTTAGATACATGCATGCACATTCTCAAAGGCATACAGGTAGTACAATTTAAAGATAAGTCCAAAGAATCAAGATATGAACTCTACCTGTAGGTTGCCATGCCCATCTTTGATGAGCTCTGTGACAATCCTTTCTACTCTCTCAGGATCTCGTATATGAACATGCTTCATCTGGAACTCTTTGATCTAAAACAAACACAAACAAAAGATCAATGAATAATCAATATTTGGGTATCTTGTACACAAAATGAAGGATGGGTCTTAAACAGTGTAGTGACAGAGAGGGGGAGAGGGGGAGAGGGGGGAAGGGGGGAGAGGGGGGATAATGGGGAAAGAGAGAGGAGATGAAAGGGAAGCGGAGAGGGGATTGAAAGGAGAGGGGAAGGGGAATGGGGAGAGGGGAAAGGGAGGGGAGAGGGGAAAGGGAGGGGAGAGGGGAAAGGGGAGAGGGGAAAGGGGAATGGGGAGGGGAGGGGAGAGGAGAAAAAAAGAGGGGAGAGGAGAAAGGGAGGGGAGAGGGGAAAGGGAGGGGAGAGGGGAAAGGGGAGAGGGGAAGGGGGAATGGGGAGGGGAGGGGAGAGGAGAAAGGGAGAGGAGAGGGGAAAGGGAGGGGAGAGGGGGGGGGGGGGGGGAGGGGGAGAGGGAGGATAATGGGGAAAGAGAGAGGAGATGAAAGGGAAGCGGAGAGGGGATTGAAAGGAGAGGGGAAGGGGAATGGGGAGAGGGGAAAGGGAGGGGAGAGGGGAATGGGGAGAGGGGAAAGGGAGGGGAGAGAGGGGAAAGGGGAGAGGGGAAAGGGGAATGGGGAGGGGAGGGGAGAGGAGAAAGAGAGGGGAGAGGAGAAAGGGAGAGGAGAGGGGAAATGGAGGGAAGAGGGGAAAGGAGAAGGGGAAAGGAGAAGGGGAGGGGTGGTATGGATTGGTAGAGAGGAGATGAAAGGGAAGCGGAGAGGGGATTGAAAGGAGAGGGGAAGGGGAATGGGGAGAGGGGAAAGGGAGGGGAGAGGGGGAAGGGGGGAGAGGAGAAAGGGAGGGGAGAGGAGAAAGGGAGGGGAGAGGAGAAAGGGAGGGGAGAGGAGAAAGGGAGAGGAGAGGGGGAAGGGAGGGAAGAGGGGAAAGGGGAGAGGGGAAAGGGGAATGGGAGGGGAAAGAAAAGGGGAGGGGAAGTGGAAGGGGAGGGGGAAGGGGAAAGGAGAAGGGGAGGGGTGGTATGGATTAGTAGAGGAAAGGGTATATAATTGATGTCCCCAGATTGGCAGAAAAAGGGAAAGAGGTAAGAGAGTGAAAAGAGAAAATGAAAAGAAGATCAAAAATCATAAAACCCTTTCCCAACTCCCTACCCTCACTTTATGCACCCCCCCCCCCCCTCTCCCACCCAAAGACGTCATTGCCCCACTGTAAATGCCTAGATTTATACTGAGCACATGTATCTACTACATAAAGTGATCATATGCAAGATATACCAAATGTAAGGTCTAAAGATGACAAGTGATCATTTCTTTTCAACCTAAATGGAACGGATAAAGGATATAGCCCAAAAGAACATTCAATATCTTTTATCCCCTCTCTCTCCTCCCCCCTCATTTTCCAGATTTGGCTCTCTCTCTCTCTCTCTCTCTGCAACAGTCTCTTTCTCATTATAAAATCTTTACTTTGTTTCCTCCCATCTTCTTTAAAATACAGACATTTCAAACTCTTATCCTTCACTTTTGCCTACTATATAGTACTTTATTCATCATCATTGTTTTTCCCCCTTACAAAAATTACATAATAATTGGAAAATGTATGTAAATGTATGTACATAAAGTGACTTACATTTGCAGCTATGCCACAGGCTACATTTTGTAAAGTAAATAAACAATATCAAAATATTTTGATTTCCATAATTGGACTAAGGGCGCGTCATGCTTGATTTTGAAGGCAGAATGAGCGATTTGTAACGCTCATCGTAAACGCTCATCATAATCGCAGTTCCACGGTGCACTGTTCATGCTCACTTCTCCAGGCAATTCTCCTTGGGTGGCCTTCAGCTGGATTCGCAAACCTGTGTGCGCATGCTACGTAGACCCACTAGAGGTCAGTGCGTTGACCCCATTTAAACACGTTTACAAATTGTAAACGCATCTTTTTGTGAGTTTACGATCGGCGATCATGATCGCCGTTTTTCGGTGATTCTACAAAAGTGAGCATGAACGCAACCGTGTTTTAAACTAAACGCGCAACAGTTGCCTGATTCTGGCCGTCAAAATCAAGCATGAACGCGCCCTTAAACATGTGTGCTGCATGGAAGTAAAAAAAAAAGAAAAACAAGATGTTGTACACATATTTTTTTCCAGATAATAAACCTTTTATTGGCAACGTCAGTGCAGGACCAGTGTGATTTTTAACACATTGCAATACACCAAAAAAGAACAAAAAACAAACAAAGCTTTGCTGCATATTTATAAACATCTATAATTCTTTTCAATCTACACTGAGATTTATCATAAACATAGCAGATGATATTGTGGGGAATTCCAGGTTTAATGCTAATCAAGTATAGTAGCACTCATGCTGCTACAGGTATGATGCAATGAAAAATGTGCAAACATAAACAAATACTGGATATTGCGCGATACAGTTCCAAATATAGGACATTCAATTCCTTCCCCTCAAGTGGAACAGGAACAATAAACTCCTTTTAAAAAAAATCTGCAACTCATGTTTAAGCATTGATATCTCTATTGTTATTTGTTACTATATTATCATACTTAAATTTGACAGCCTTTTCACACACAGCTAAAATTCTATAAACATGATTAGTATAAACGTGTTTGAAACGTGTTTAAACTAATCACGAGCCTTTCACACACAGAAATTTCGTTGCGATCGTTAATCGTTTCGTGATTAACTAATAACTACTGCTCGTACAATGCGCAGTAGTGCCATTGCGCATTGAAGGTCAGGTCATATCAAACAGAGTGGTCGCTCCATCCAGTTTAAACACGTTTAAACACGAAAAACCTTTCACACACAAAATGTCAAGCTCTTTAGATACAAACTTCGTATCGGCAGCCTGCTTTTAGGGGCGTATGCATCGCGACATCGTATCTATCCCAACATCGTATAAACGATGTTCACACTGGGAAAATTTTCTATAAACATGTTTAAAACTGTTGAGTGATTCTAATCATCTCTGGAAATGATGAATTTTAGCTGTGTGTGAAAAGGCTGTTGGTATCATTGAAAGCCTGTTTATTTCCCTTTACGCCCTACTTGTAATGACGATTTAACACAGAATGTGCAGTACACCGTTTACAATGACGCCCTATTTTTGATGATGATTTTATTATGGAATGTGCAGTACACATGAATATGGGGCCAAGTCAAAAGTGAAATGTTGCAAAATGTATTGTTATTGTCAAGTTGTCAACAGTGAAATCCAAATTCAAGTATGACAATAGTAATAGTATAGTAACAAGAGAGATATCAACGCTCAAACTTGAATTGCACAACCCTTTTTGATGTGGTTATGTCAAATGATATACCATGACTAGATTTGAATTACATACACAATCCTGCAAGTAAAAAGTAGGAATCTTATTAAATACACCATGCACTTTCATATGATAGGCCTACTGTACACTTGATCCATTTCGTTTTTTGAATGTAAATTTAGGATTTACTTTTTCAAAATGATAATATAATGCAACATAAGTAAAAGAAATTAAATGATAAAAAGGGAAGGGTAATCCTGCCCCATACATTTCTGCTCTTTCTTAACCAGAACAATGTTTTCTACTAACAAAGACAAATGTACAATTGTACATATGATTGTATCAGTTGATAATCTATATAAAAGTAGTTGACTGTATACAAGGATATAACGCAGTCTGTATAAGCTTTAAAACAAAAAAACTTGTGCCATTCTTTCATTTTTATATTCTTATAAACCCTACAATGTTATTTATTCTTAGTAAGTTGGGGCTAGTTTTTCAAAACTGTCATAAGTCCAAATCCTTGCAATGGACATCCCATAGAAACGTGTTTTTATTCTATTTCAATGGGATGCCCACTGTTTTGAGAAGCAGCCCCCCTGTACCCCAACCAATGTTGCATTGTTCGAAATCAATGACCTTTATCACCTTGAGGTCAAAAGGAACATGTTACCCTTTCCTTGACCTACACATGCTTGTATTTAAGTGATCATACAAAGACAGGATATACTAAAGAGGAAGTTTGATTTAAAATTAGCAGCTTTAAACAATGGTTATGAACCCCGATCACATGTACTTTTAAATGTTCAGGGGCTTATAGTGGGGGTATGGCCTTCAGTGTACCAATCATCAATGTTCACACGTTTTGCTCTTGATATAATTAGTTCCGTAGTACTGTATTTAAAATATAAGCTTCAAATATTACTTCTACAAAGAGATACAGTGCATTGCAATTTAAATACACTCCCAGCGAACCTTAAAATGTCCAATCGAGTAGACTCGTTAATGCATGCGTTCACATTCCCATAGAAAACTGCACGCACGGAACCCGAGACGGTTGACGGGTTCAATGCGAGGCAGGGGTTTTATAATATCCTTAATTTCTTTATACTCCTTATCTGTTGACCTATAGCACGCCATGAAAGTATTTTGGAGGTAAATTTTAAACATTTTAGCAAAACATTTTATTTTATTTATTTATTTATTTGTTTATTTATTTTTATTTATTTATTTATTATTATTATTATTATTATTATTATTATTATTATTTTTTTTTTTTTTTGGGGGGGGGAGGTGATTGGTTCAATCTAACACTTTGTGGTATGTGGATTCTGCCATTATATTGTACACAAGAATAATCCCTGTAAAGCGCTTAGAGACATTTGTATAAAGTGCTTTATAAAAATTAAATATTATTATTATTATTATGACAATTGCTCCAAGGTAAATTTCAAACACATTTACCAAATTCCTACGGTGAACTCTGGACTCAACATTATATGTAACTCCACCAACCTTAAATCTAACCTAGAACCCCATTGAGGTAATAATGACAGCTACATGTACACACTTATAAAGTTTGATTCTACATCTTACATGTATATGTGAATTTCACACTGATTTCAGATGATCAATTACATCTCACACAGAATAATGATAGATTTTTTTATTCCTCGAAGCAATCCAAGCCCATGGCAATATTTTTGTTATTACGTTTCTTCTGAATTTTAATAATTATTGATATCTATCATACATGCTGCAATCTGCAAATTCAAAGGTGCATACATGTACAGCATACTGTAGCTGCAACTCTATTTTTCAGATCTTTATTCAGCCTTGACTTTCAAGCAATTGATTTGCATTTAATGAATAAACACTCATATGGACTCATTATTTTGACCTCTTTTGTTTGTGTATAATATGGTCTGACTTTGTCTTTTCAGACTGTAATATTCTGAAACTGAAACGATTCATTGAATAGTTTTCTAACCTTTCAATCAGTTTTAGTCTAGAGTTTTATCAATATTTTGCTGTAAATTTGATTATAACAGACTTCGACAAATTTGGGTAGAATGTGAGAAATATCAATACATACAATGTATGTTGATCAACACTGATCAAACTAAGTTTCTATTTCAATCATGTCACTTGTAAATTTGTTGTTTATCAATTCAATTGTTTAATAACGATCAGGCTAATTAATATTTTTATGAAAAGATCTAACATAAACCACCAGCAAGTTACATGTATCTACACAAATTTGGGTTAACTTACATGTACATGTATATCAAAGGTTTATGACGTTAGGCCAAGCCCACAAGGTGACAAGCTATAGTATGAATCTTTTTTCGTCCTTCAGATGGTGACATAAACTAAAAGTTCGGTCCCCAGACGTAAATAATCATATCTGATTGATATAACTTTTAATAACAACGATTCATCCATGTTGTATCGTCGATTCAACATGGCGAAGAGAAAGTATGCATGCGCGGTAGCGGCGCGGCAATATCAATATTCTTGATATAGAGCGCCGTTTGCTCGAACTGTTGAATATGCACGAGGTTGAGAAGGGCTCTTTTTCTTCCATTCATGCATATTCAGCAATTTTGAGTAAACGGCGCTCTATAGCAATAATATTCATTAAATTTGCTGCGCCGTTACCGCGCATGCGTAATTTCTCCTCACCATATTGAATCGACGATACAACATGGATGAATCATTGGGTTAGGACAAAGAATCCCCCTTTTTCCCATCAAAGACTTTTTCAAATTATAATTTCAAGTGGTTGGAACGATGCCCAGAGTTGAAAAACATTGTAGATCTAGATCTAGGTCAAAATTGTAATTACTACCTCTTTACATTTCGAAAAAGGTGACCCAACCTGCTGTTTGAATCGTTTCCCTGTACGACTACGAGCTCTGGATGGCGTCAGAGCTCCAAGGAGTTTTAGACCAAGTAGAATTTAGACCAAGTCACCAAGAAGATAGACCTGGAAGCTCGACTGCTGTCTCAGCATTCTTCCAGTATTTGCGGTAAAGGTAGAGGTAAAAATAAAGCCAGGCCCAAGGGAAGGCCATCGGGCAACATGGGTAAGGACAGGTAAAATTCACATCATGATCGTGATCATGTTTTTGTTAAAAAATAAATCAACGTTTATCATGTTTATGTTTATAGTCAGTAAAATTATTATTTTTTTGTTAACAAAACAAGTCGCGGCGTGAGTGGCCTCCGTGCACATAGCCTACAAATACAAGGACGCAACACAGCTAAGCCAGCCAGCGGCCAGGCCAGGCTCCGGTCAATGCCATGTTTACAAGTCGCTGCGCTGAGATGAGCTGAGCGTTTAGTTTTAAGTTCAGGGTGATACACATACCATGTAGTTAATGACAGCCTTTTTTGTTTTACTCCTCGACATGTAAGCTGCTACAGCTACAGCACTAGCAGCAACCACTCCTCCAGCTAACACCATTTTAACCGTAGATGAACGCCACATTTTGACAGGCTAAAACCAATGCAATGTTGATAATCAGAAGCTCTGAAAAATAGCTGTGCACTTGTCCTCTTTCGCTCAGCTTTATTCTTGAACAGCTGATTGATATAGCTAGCTTGGCTGTCATGTCATCATCAACCGAAAAAATAAATAGCCTTCATTGAACACAAGATGGCGCTATACCGGATCGATCTCATCGATCTCGTATCTGCAACACTGCGATGAAACCAAGTAACATTGGAGGCGGTATAATATATACCGTGAAAATAAATTCACAAAACATATCACAGGTCGTCGCAGCTGTTATGTCTGACTATAAAAAAATGATAATTATAATTAAAGAATGAAAAATTATCAAAAATAGATATTGAAACATCTAGCAAATCAGTTTAAACCTGACTGTTTGAACTATTTTTTTTTACCCTGTATATATACAAATTATGTGGATCGATTTGATGAGCTTTATTATGATCAGATACAGGCCTATTGAATGGCCCTCTACTAATACATGTACTGGGCGTCATTATAGGTAATTCAGAGATTAAATTCAGGTAGCAGAAACAGGCGTAGGAGTTGGATAGGCTCATGTTTTCAAAGTACCCATCGATCTGTGTAAAAAAAAGGTGTATTCATTTGCATTTTTTTAGCAAAACGTTCAGGGGTTACCGGTATTAGTTTTGTTAGAATGAACCTCTCTTTTCTTTCGAATGAGCAGGGGCGGATCTAGCTTTTTGCTAAGGGGGGGGTTTGACCAAAATAATGACGATGCGGAGCATCGTCCACGAGCCGCGAAGCGGCGAGCCGATTTTTTTGGGGGGTGTTTATTAAACCCCGTAAGTGATGTTTTCCTGGCATCTATTAACGCAATGGAGACCATAAAAAGCAGTGCATGATAACGTCTTTTTAAATCAAGTAACAGTTTAATACACAGTTATATCCAGAGTTATCATGTGTTTGGTTAAGTTACCAGATGAGTTGAATATCTTCTCACAATATTTGCACTTGAAAGGGTTTCTCTCCAGCGTGCGTTCTTTTTTCTTTCTTTTTTTCTCTCCTTTTTTCTTTTTTTTCCTTTTTTTTTTTTTTTTTTTTTTTTTGGGCCGCCCAGGGGGGGGGGGGGGTTTAAACCCCCTAACCCCCCCCCCCGTAGATCCGCGCCTGATGAGGCAGCAGAATATAAAAATGGAACTATTATGAACATCAAGGAAATTAGTATATCTCTATTCTCTATAATATAGGTCATGGCGCCCCCTATAACGTTGAAAGATACATTCTGTCCTAAGCAACATGGACAAAATTTGAGGCAAATAGTTTTTTTAAATATTTTTTTTAATGCCTTTTTATGTTCATGCCTTCTTCATGCATAGTAAAGTTCTTTTGTATTATTTAGCTGTGAATGTAAAATCATATTCTATATAATAATATTAACATGCAGATTATTTTATGTATTGATTTTGTTATTGTTTGTTATTATAATTTTTGTTATTGTTTGTGAAAAGCAATGGAGAAAATAAAATATCATTGAAAAAAAAAAAAAAACACACAAGTCTACATAAGACGAATTCATAACTATACGATAAGGGATGTAATATACGCTATGTAGGCCTGTACTAACAGTTTTTTTTTAAAGAATACCTTTTTCTTGATGAATAAATCATTAGGTAGCGCATTCCAAATACCTGAACACACACTTGTCCTTCGTAAAGTATTTTTACGTGGCTAACATTCTAATTGTCATTCCACTTTTAAGCGCTTTACAATATTATTACCCGTTCATCGGATTCAGTCTCAGTCCTGCCCGCATGCAATATATGCACATTCTCCACTCCCTGGGGAGCATTCTAGCCAGGCGTCACTTTACAGACGCTCGCAATGCAGTGAGCAAACTACATGAACTTTCGCACCCTATACCGGGTACCCATTTAACACCTGGGTGGAGAGTGGCAAATATATAGAATTACGTCTTGCCAAATGAAGTTAGTGCTGGGCTGGGATTTGAACCCATACCTTGTGATCTGCAATCGGGTGACGCATCAACAGACAGGCAACACTTCTACTGTTAAGACGTTAATCCAAAAATATTTTGCCTTTCTCCACCCAGGTGTAAACGGGTAGGCCTACCTGGCAATTGCTGAGGTAAAACTAATTGTAGGGCCGGCAGAAAAAACACATTAATGTTGGTGTGACTACCCTGGGTAAATAAGACACAGTTATTATCATGTTAGGGTGTCTTAATGATAATCTATAAGCAAGGAGGAGTCTTTTATTGTTAAAATTTCATTCCGAAATGAAATCTATCAATGTGCTGTATGGTTATGACAAGATCAGTTCCAATCCCCGGCCGACACATAGAATTTTCAGTCAATAATTATAGAGCAAATATCATTCAATGTAAATAATGATCAAAGACTTCATGAATTATGTATTACATTGTGTTTTCTGCAGTTTGACTTGCATATGAATCTCAATTTCAAAGTTAAAGAAAAAAAATCATATATTATAAAGACCGCTTTATGTCCTATATAGGTCAGTCGGTCCAAAACCCTCAATAGGACATTTCAAGACGTTCTTATGAAGTTGTGTTATTGATTGAAATACTATCACAAATACGAGTCCATCATCCATGCATTATGAATTAATAAATGCACTTTTTCAAAAATGTGCTGCTCAAAATGAAATGTGGCCCAACTGTTATATGCTCGCTCGCTAGAAAATAACTAGCTTCTGGTATAGCCTACTTCAAACCGACCTGGCCTCAAGCCCAAAATATTGAGCGGCCATTGGGGGAAAACTCCCCTTGGCCAGTCCGTCCATATAGATAGCCCCTATACTGACTGATGGAAATCGGTCAGGTGAATTAATAAAGATCTGTCAATGAGGAGATCGATGTGTGAACAGAGTAGCGGCAAATATTGGGAATTCGGGTCAGTAAATATTGAACGTCTGTTCAAAAACTTGTTCTACAAAAAAAAAAGACCATTCAAATGTCAAAGCTTACGTCAATTATGTTTGTACGGTGGTGATATTACATTTTTATAGCTTCTTCTCCTCAACCCCCCCCCCCCCCCCCCCCCCCCCCCTCTTCACACATGTTGCCCACACCTGAAATGGTTCCAGGCATTGAAATATCACATTATAGAAATGAACAAATACATGAATAAATAAATGATGATGTTGACGACGATGATGATGATAACAATGGCGATGATGAAAATAATAATAATAACGATAATAATAACAATAATGATACTACTAATGGTGATGAGGATGATGCCAATGTGGATTGATAATGATGTGGATAATAATATTAATCATATTAGGAATAATTATAACAATAATGGTAAACAAAAATATAATGATGACGACTAAGATATAGATGATTAATCAAAAGGTTATTTAACAAGTATTGTGACCGATAGCCAGAAAATTTTAAATGAAGGAAGGAATAGTGAAGAAATAGCACGCTCTCAAAATCGACAACAAACGACATACATAATGATATTTGTTTGCGCATGATCAGACTGCACGGAATGATCTACCGTAGAGATTGTTGTAGACAAGTGGTAGCACGTTTCAGGCTACTGTCATATTGACAATACTTCCATAAATATTCAACCCACTTGATGTATGCAATCATTGTCCAGGTTTTGGTTATTTCCAAGAAACCACTGACTTGAATGATGAATTCATAGTTACCATGGAACAATAAAACACAAAGCTCTTTAAATATTGGGAGGCTATTTTGCCTAATATTGAGTTCACAAAATGTTATCCTATAATTTGCAATGTATATATATTCACAACATTTTGTTACCCTATTTTGTAATGTTTCTGAATTATAGTAATTTTTTTGCTTTTCTAGATAATAGTTTTACCTTAATTAATCAAGGAATTCGCGCTCGATAGGCCTTTGCTCTCCCTTCAGTCCTTCATTTGCTATAGTATACCCAATCGGTGGAATAAACTTAAAACTGTAACTTGTACAAGTATTATATTTCATTGCTCTGGGCCCCGTTTCAGAAAATTCTGTTATGAACAACAACTCAAAATTACCCGTTATAAGCCATACTTAAAACGTTTTATTAGATTTGGAAAGTTTTTCTTGAAATGTGATAATTTATTTGTTATGAAAAGATTCATGGAATAGGGGCCTCCTTTTTTAATATATAAGTTACACCCGAACCCCACATGACAATACACCCTCCCCTCTGCTAGGGGAGGACTGCCGTCTTGATAATGACGGGATAGAATTCAGTTTGATCAATATATGATTGATTAGACGATTAATTCTAAATTAGGAAATGGTGCACAGATGGGCGATATTATTTGACGGATTTCCGCATGATGGTAGCTAGCGTATATACTCTTTCTGAAATATCGATTTATCCTACAGCTGTTGTTCTTTGGACTAATTAAGCCTATAAAATATCACAGGTAATTGTTCAGAGATGTATGATATAATAATATATTTTCTTATTGAATTGAAGATTCACAGTCATATGCGTAACTCTTGATAAATCCTAATCGGGGCATTTTTTAGGGGGGGGGGGTTGTCAAAGTTCGGTCAAAGGGCACTTTGTTGTTTTTGGAAGGTTCTGACACATCTTTTCAGATAAATAAAAAGACAAAATTATTATGATTATCCGATGAATACAACCCTCCCCCTCTTCCATGGCTTTGAGGGGAAATCTGAATAGGTGAGATAATTTGATAAAATGTAAATGCATTTCCTTTTTCAATACATGATATGGCTGCATCTGTCACATGAATTAAAAAGGGTAAAGGGTAATCTACTATCAGAAACTCATATAAGAAATTAAATATGAGGCGGCAATCGAGGGAAAAGATGCGTTTAGCCGTTTTGTTCCATCCCCGTGTACAACAATGAAATATAATGCATGCATATATTCTTTTCCACGAATAAGTCGAGAAGCTTACAGTGAAATGCAAGAAAACATGAGTAAAAAAATGAAAGGTAGAGTAGACTAGTTCTCAACAGTCCCCATTGACGCCGAGTTTAAGGTCATGACCCCATGTCATTACCAGTTCGCTGTCTCCCAACTGAATTCATGTTCAAACGCAAACAAATATGCATAAATCATCATCGAGGAGCAGCAAAATTGCAGTCCTGCTGACGTT